AATGTAACAACTATTAGGTCAGTTAGCGATCAACAAGTACATTGAGCAGCATAGGAGCTATGCAGATACTAAGACAGTGACTGATTTGTTCTTTGCACATCTTACTGGTTTGAATTTGTTACGTGCATTTCCAAACGTATTGTTGATGAATTGTACTTCTAAGACCAATTGATATCCATTGCCCCTTCTGGAGATTGTAGGTGTGACATCAACAGACATGACATTTTCAGTTGCATTTGCATACCTCCAACATGAGAAGAAGGATAACCACGCATAGGCACTTGGTATTTTGTGTAGTGTCATGGATAAAAATTCTCTTCCTTCTGTTATTGTCATAGATGGAGAATTGGCCCTTATGAATGCCATATGTACGGTGTTTCTTAGAACTACAAATTTGTGTAGATGGCATATTGGTTGGGAGGTTGCATACAATTCTAGAGTTCAGCATTTCAAATCAGTCATCAATCCAGACGTAGCCACAATCGAAACAGTAGACTTGGATAAGGACTAATGTCATACAAGTGAGATAAGAAATATAATTAGAATGGATTTAAATTATGTTATTTTCTTTGTTATACTGAATTAGAATGGAAAAGAGTGAATTGGAATGAATTTAAGTTATGTTATTTTCTTTGTTATAATGAATTGGAATGGTAAACAGTAAATTGAAATAAATGTTATTTTATGTGTTATACTGAATTGAAGTTGACGAAAAAAGTGAATTGGAATGGATTCAAGTTACACAGTGGTGAACAAATTTTGTTCGGACATACAGTGCTGACAGGATCACTAATGTTCGACAAAACAATTCTAAACAAAGAATATTAGTTTGAAAAAACAGTGTTGAACGAATTTTTTTGTTCGATTTTACAATGCTGAAGTGATTAGGCCAGCAATTGTGATTGGGCTAGCAGAAATTTATGTTCGGCACTACAGTACTGAAAAAAAACTTATCTATTCGGCATTACAATGCTAAACGAAGACTACTTGTTTGGCATTATAGTGCTAAATGAGTCATTTTTATTTGGTTTTATAGGGCTGAACGATGAGGATTTGTTCAGTTAGTCAGTGATGAACATAAAATTTCTGCTTATTCATTAGTCATTGTAATAAACAAACCAATATTTCAAACTAGGAATGGCAACAGGTCGGGCCGGAGATGACACTCCCCGTCCCCGATCCTCGGAAAGTAGAAAATTCTCCGTCCCCGCCCCCGATCCCCGACGGGGAAACCATCACGTCCCACGTCCCCATCCCCTAACGGGGATCGAGTTTCCTCGACCCCAAAAAATCCCCAACAGATTTGTTCTCAAAACACACACACACACACAAACACACACAAGAAGAACTGTTCAGATTAACCACAATCATCAACAACCATCACCAACAGCAACAGATATATATATATAACAACTTTAAAAAAAATATATATGTGTTCATCAACACAAACAGACAACAACAGATGTACATACAACTTTAAAAAAAAATTGTTCAGCAACAACATATATATATATAGTGAGAGAGAGAGAGGGTTTCTGCAACTCTTCCTGGTCAAGTAGCTTCACGGTCCTGTTCAGATCGATCTAGATCGGTAGCTTCACCGTCTGTTCAGATCGATCCAGATCAGTAACTTCACGAGATCGTTCCTGGTCCAGTTCAGATCTGTGGCAACAGTGGGCTTCACGGATAGACCACGATTCACAAGCAAGACAAAGAAAGAGAAGGAAAGGCTTCAAAAGTGAGACAGAAAGGGAGAAGTGAGTGAGGAAGAGAGATATGAGAGAAGCACTGATATGAGAGAGATGAGAGACGTGAGTGAGGGAGAGAGAGAAAGAGACGAGAGATGAGGTGAGACAGAGGGAGAAATGATAGTGTGATAAGGGTTTGGTTTTTATATATATATACCTAGGGGTAAAATAGTAATTTTATTTCAGGAGATAATCGGGGACGGGGACGGGGACGGGGACGGGGACGGGGACGGGGACGGGCCAGGGGACGGGGCTGGGACACGTATCCTCATCCCCGACCTGAAAGTGATCGGGGATTGATTTTTAAATACCATCCCCGTCCCATTGGGGACATTTTTCGGGAAAAAACTGCTCAAATCGGGGTCGGGGGTTGGGTCCCCGTTGGGCCGGGTTCAAATTGCAATCCCTATTTCAAACAAACAAACTATCAAACCATCAAACCAATTCCAAACAAATTCATTAACTTCAATATCATTGTTAAACCACCAAATACCATCAAACTAATTCATTGAGTGCCCAAAAAGGTATGGTAAAGCCATATACAAGCCTAGCTCATACTTGTATTGTCACGACCCAAACCCGCCCCTGTAGGTTTAGCACCGTGACCGGCCAGTAATCTGTGGATTACCAAAGGCCTCTGAACAGATTAGCAAATAATAAGGGGCTGCGAAAGCAATAATACAAAATAGACAAGGTCCAATGAGCTGTGATAACGTACATGGGATAGAACATTTCAAAACTTATTTATATATACATAAACATGCCAGTCCAAATACACGATATTTACAAGGTATTTACAGAATGTAATTCCTAAGACCTGACTTTACAGAGCATACACAAAGACTAACATTAATACAAAATAGCCATGGCTTAGGCTTCGTTCGGAACCTCCTCGGGAGGCACAACGGTTGACTGACAAAATAGAACAGAAGGCCGTCAATTTTGGCCCTGGTCACACGCCGGCTCACCTACATACATAATATAAACTGTGAGTTAAAGCCCAGCAAATAGTAATAGAGTAAAGGATTTAATGAATGATGTCCGTCACAGAGTTAGAAATCAAATTCTTATCAGAACAGATTCAAATACATATTCATAATCATTTTCATATTCAGATTTCGCATATAATCATACGTGGTACATCCCTTAGCGTTAACAAATCCGATGGCCCATAAAGGGACGGCCTTGAAGGCATTCTGATGACTCATGTGCACAGAGACGTTTCTGATGACCCATAAAGGGACCTGATGACCCATAAAAGGACGCATATCATATGATGCTAAGGATGCCACGAATAACTTTCAAAATTTTGGACATTCATTCATTCATTTCAAACATAGCATAGCATTTCAGAGAACTAATTACTTCGTGTCATTATATTCAAAAAATACTTAACATTGAACATAACTTTACAAAGTTATTACTCACAGATGATTGATAGCCCTAACTAGATGGTAATGCGGGCCTTCACTTGTTCTGAGGTGCGTGACCTACATGAACACATATATGAACACACACTTGAAATACACGTTCAAATTGTACATAACTTACGTCGTTTGCTCTTAGTGTGTTTCTAGCCCTTAATCCTCATTATGGGGTCGTAAACATGGCTTAGAAATGCCTAGGATGGAATGAGGATGCAAGAATGCGTTGGGAAAACATTTCTCAAGATTTGCTGAAAATAAGGTCTACGCTCGAGCGTGGCTTCCCTCGCTCGAGCGGACATGCAGACAATGAAGCTTCGCTCGAGCGTGAATCTCCTCGCTCGAGCGTACTGTAAACTCATGAAAAAGTACTGGATGCATGATTTTCACGCTTGACCTACGCTCGAGCGTGAGACTCAGAACCTCGCTCGAGCATGGATTCCCTCGCTCGAGCGAACTGTAAAACACAAGAACTTCTGGGTATATGCATTTCATGCTCGAGCGTATACTTCCATGCTCGAGCGGAGTGCACGTACTCAGGGTTCACGCTCGAGCGTAAAGTCCCACACTCGAGCGTGGATCAAATTTCTGGAAATTCCAGATTTGATCACCAAGCTCAAATTCGACCTTTGAAGCATCAAACTCAATTTTCTGGGCCAAAATTTTGGATTTTCCAAATTTGCTCCCAAGTTTCAAAACATGAATTCAACACTCCAAAACTCATCCTCTTGGGCCAAAATTCTGGGAAACATTTAGAAACTCACAAAATAACATATTTAAAGGATCATTTCAAGAAATCATGGCCCAAAAGGATATCAATTTTCACAAACTCAACTTAAATTCAAAATCAATTGATGAACATCACATGCAAGTACATTTTTGAGCTAAGGCTCTTCAAAACATGATCAAATGCTACCAAATCACATGAAACTCATTGTGTTTCCAAAATCAGAATAGACTCAACACATGCATGAAGGAATTCTTGAAATAAATCTCTAAAATACCATGAAACATGCATGCATGCATGAATTCATTCTTAATTCCCAACCTTTAATTCAATTCACATGTTAATTCACCTACATAACTAATTTCAAGCTTTAATCAACTAAATTACAAGGCTAGAGACTAACATTCTTACCTGAAGTTCTCAATTCCTTATGGTTAGAGATGTTCTTGAGCAAACCACCAAGGTCTCCTAGCAATTTCTCCTAATCCTCAAGCTTGATCCCAATTCCTTCCCTCTCTCACTCTCTCCCACGTTTTCTTCCTCTCAAAGCTCAAGTGTGGTTAAGAATGACTAAAGGAGGTGAGTGGGGCTCAATTAGCCTAATAAGTGGTAATGGCTCACAAATAAACAAATGTCATTATTTTAATCAAATTTAATCGTTTCGAACCGAATTTTAATTAAACCTACCATAAAATTCTATAAATTCTAACTAGTACATAAATCAAGTCAATTTCTGATTCGAATGCCAATAAGGCTTTCAATTCGCAAACCGAAATTAAATCGTGAACAGATATTTCTACGCGTAACAGATATAAACACAACAATGCAACACACACACATGCATTTTAATTCAAGATTCAACTAAATTTCTAATTAGGCATAATTAATCATGGATTAGCGTTAATCAGAGGTTGGGGTTGTTACATGTGTCATATACAAACTACTATCAAAATATATACCAAAAATATTTCTCAAACAAACTAACATATACTAAAGTGTTATCTGACATTTGTTATACTTGTGTCTAACATGTAATAAAGTCTAACATATGTTTGAGACTAAGATTCAAAAAGCACATTTAAAACCAATAAATACTAAAGTCTAAGATGTTACTCCACGTTTCGTGCGATGAGTGTACACCAAGTTCTCTGATGGTGTATGTTCTTCACTGGACTGTTGGCCCTCCAATACTTGTGTTATCTTCTTCATGGCATAGCGTAACATATCTTGGGTAGGAGTTGCTTCATTGTATCCCAATATGATCATTGAACGTGAAATGCTCAAGGCACTGTTAATACGTTGCAAACAAGAAAATAAAGCCTAATAATTGCCTTAAACAAAATATATATGAAAATGAAAACGTTAAAAGTTGACATATGAATTGAAGCTGACGATAATTAGTTGATGTCTTAGTGCGTGGGTTATACTTAGAACGATGTGTCAAGTTTTGAATTTGCACGTGTGAAATGAAAGTAAACTAGTCCAAGTAACCTAGCACACAATCCCATGGATGCAAGACTGGAACACTACGCGTCATCTTAGACAACTAGTGATTTTCCTAACTCTCCCAAATCATATCCAAATTTGTACGCAATGTTGGACTGTTTTGCAGTGGATCCTCTAGAGGCTTGAACCAGAGCAAGCGGAGATGAGGAAATAGTTTGCACCCTGCTAAACTGTCTCAACACCCTATTCGGATGGTATGGTTCAACAATGTACACACATTTTAAGCATCCACTACAGTAAGCAACATCAAAAAAAGGATGCTCAGTACGCTTATCATGTTATGGATCCCAAATAACCTATAACAGCCAAATATTTATACGTAAGTTATGAATTAGGTTGAATAATAGCAAGTAATATGTACATACACGGAGTTAAGATTGACACTTACATCATGGGTCTCCAATCTGTTAAGGTCCTCTTGCAACCTTTGTAAAATAGACGTTGACGAACCAGATTGGGTGCGAGAAATCCAACGAAAGACACTAGGCTAATCTTCTTTGTAGTCCAAATTGGGGTAGGGTCTAGCACCAACAAAATGCTCGTAAATCCAAGCTTCCAGCAATGTCACGTATCCCGCCATCTGTTTCATGGCATACCTTGTGGCAGTACCCAATTGTTGGTATAAAAAAGCCAATACGGCTGCACCCCAAGCATAAGAAGCAACCGATCGCAAATCCATAAGAAAAGACAAATACGCTATTGGAACACGTGTCCTAATCTTTGTCTGCAAACAAGGTACAACCGAACAAATATAACAAATATGTCCTAGTTGCACACTCAATGGTATTATCATTGTTCGCATCAAATACTGACCTAAACCGTTGTCTCAACCATTCTGCCTTGATAGACTGGCTCCATGCTACTTTCAACGTTACATTTGTCTCATCTACTATTAGTCCCAAAGCCTCAACTAGCAGATTTGCAACCTCAACATTTGATAACTTCTTGCAAGAGACAGATTTACCAATCACTGGAATCCCTAGAATTACACTAACATCATCTAAGGTTGGTGACATCTCACCAAATGGTAGATGAAGCTTGTTTGTCTCTGACTGCCATCTTTCCACAAAGGCTGAAACTACAACTTTGTTTACAAATTTATACAAGCAACTTACTAAAGAAATAAACCTCGAATCCATAATTAAACCATGAAATTTGTACTGTTCATTTTCTTCCAAATTGAATGACCATTCACCAACTTTAAAACCATGATTTAAACAAGTATTCTGCGTTCCTGTAACATAGAATAAAAAATAAAAAATAAAAAGAAGTAGTAAAGTTAAAACAAAATTTAAAACATTAAATTAATGTAAGACAATGACTTACATCATTATGCCAAATTTTTGCTGCTACATGACAATGAAAACTTTTCAAAATTAAAGGATCATCTGGCCCTGCAGGAGAAAGTCCAGTAAGATCTTCATTACCTTTTTCGGTTGCATCTGCTGGTTGGTCTTCATAGTCACCCATGTCTGTTGGTTCACCTGGATTATCACCTATGTTTGTTGGTTCATCACCCAGATCGTCACCTATATTTATTGGTTCGTCACCCAATTCATCACCCATGTTACTAACATTCAATTGATTACCCCCATCGTTTTCGACCTCAACCATTTTTGCTAGAACAACACCTATGTCATTCATGTCCTATTCATTAACTCCACTATTTTGATCCTTAGTCTTATGAGTGCGTCGAGGTTTCTTAGTCGCTTTTGAGAAATTAGAGCATTACAACTCCTAGACGTTGTTTGGCGATCTTGAGTAGTTTCCACCATAATTGTCCACCAAGTACAATTAGATGTGTTAGTCGATGAGAGTGATCTACTAAATCCACATTCGTTTAGTTAGTTACTTTTCAAACTTCTCACTTACAAAAATAGCCAAAGGGAGAATTGCAAAATATAATGAGAAAATGATAACTGGTTTGTAGAAAAGGGACAAAAATATTAAAAGGGAAGAATACTGGAACCAAAATCCATTACATCATGTGCAAAGGGTGACAAGCCTCATTTAAACAGCATTCACCAACATACAAAATACTATTTTATCAAGGGGGATGCACCAATAAATCCCAAATTAATAACTTATGCACTGTTTAGTCCTAAAAGTTTTCTTATAGACTGAAAGGTCCCATTACAATGTTAATAACATCAGATACAATGTTAATAACATCAGAGTCATGTTACAAACATTGGATTTCAAACATCTAATGTTCATCAAATTTCAATAATGTTTGAAAATATAGAATGAAAAACATCTAATGTTCATCAGATTTCAATAAATTTTCAAATTATGGAATGAAACACCAGATCATTTACATCATTCACATCATGTTGATGTAAAAATGGGACTAAATGGAGCATAAGAAAACTTTTAGGACTAAATGGTTCAACGTTTCAAAAACTAGGACTTATGGGTAAATTTTCCTTTTATCAATCATTAATCATAAATAATATCATTAAATGAATTTAAATATTGAATATTTATCAATCATTAATCATAAATAATATCATTAAATGAATTTAAATATTGAATAGATCATCTATAAAAATACATAAATAAATCCCTATTATTTTGTATAAGTAATACTATAATGTTAACATTTATCAAAGGTTTGTACCAAAAATTCCATTGGACCAACGCAAATAGAAGTATAGAATATAAACAGTACAAATTGTCATTCTTCCTATAGATAGTTTGTTTTCCTCTTCAAGACTTCAATAACTCTTCTTCAACTGTTCTATTTTGATTTGTTTTTGGGATTTACTCAATTTGGTTTTTTGTTTTCATTTTCTTTATTTTTGTTTTCATGTTTTCGGGAAGAAAAATAATGAAAAATCAGAAACACCCAATCGTTTTTTTTTTTCTTCTTTTTTTTTCCGTATTGGTGTGAAAACAATCTTTGAAAATTTAAAAACTAACTTTTTGAGATTTCTTAAAAAGAGGGTTATTTCCAACAAAAAAAAAAATTAGAAAATAGTTTGACAAACAAAATTTTCTGGAAAATAAAAACATGACACTAAAGCACAACAAAATAGGCCCTAATAATCCAATAGGACACAATAGTTTGCCATATATATATATACTAGTGGGTGGCACACACGATGTGTGTGTAATTTAAATAAGTAGGAATAAAACAAAATAATAATGAAATTAATATTATAATGTGTACATAGCTTAAGTGGTATGAGTCTTCGTACTTAAACCCATGGTCATGGGTTCAAGCCTTGCCCATCTCTTTATTTAATTTTTTTTTAAAAAATAAAAAATATTGCCACATGGCATGAGGAGAGTAAAGCTTCAGGACACCATAAGAAGTGTTCACTTTATAATAGTATAGATAGATAAAAAATATTGCCACATGGCATGAGGAGAGTAAAGCTTCAGGACACCATAAGAAGTGTTCACTTTATAATAGTATAGATAGATAGATAGATAGATAGATAGATAGATAGATATTATAAGGGAAATTAGAGAAACAAAACACAAACAAAACATGCCCCAGTAATGCAAACGAATTTTATGAAAACAAAAAACAGGCCCTAATAATCCAAGAAAGACAAAGGGTTCAGTTTTCAGAAACAGTCAGCCAAACAATTTTTCTGAAAGACAAAGGGTTTTGATATTTTTATTTTATTTCTATTTGGTATGTAGACTTCTATTAGATTATAATATTCAAGCCATGCATTAGATTATAATATTCAGACCTCTATTTCCTAAAAAAATTGAATTTTATGTGAAATCAGGCCATCCATTAGATTATAATATTCTCCCACAATCAAAATTTTGTGTAGTTGTGGTTTTGGTTGGTAAAGGGTTTTGTTTGTGTGGTCATGGTTAATTGCAGAGAAGAGAGAAGCAAATTATACCTTTGATTCTTAAGAAAAAAATCTACAGCTTTGTTGTGTGTAGCTCTACCACCAGCTTCATTGTGTGCGGCTCCACCACCAGCAAGAGACTGGTGCTCAACAGCAAAAAAAAAAAAAAAAAATTATAGCTACAGACCGTCGGTGCAGGAGGGAGATAGACAGTCAGTAACAGGGGAATGAGAGTGTATGAAAAATTGGGTGGGTGTGCATTTGGTTGTGATAATATTATGAATATGGGTAGATTTGGTAATATGTGGGGGTGTCCAAAAAAATGTTATTAAAATTTAGGATTTAGGGTGGGGTCCAAAGAATTTAAGCAGGTGCTAATAGCAACACTCTAAGAAAATGGTGTGTAGGAACGGTAAACTCTATTTCCATATACCTACTTATCTTAGTGCACATACTTAATGAAATTTTATTTTAATGACAATTATACTCTAAAATAAAATGACCATAATGAACATCAAAACCCCAACTAACCCATATCATCTCATCTCATCTCTTCTCTCTCTCTCTCTCTCTCTTTTCCTACCACCACCAACAACAAATAAACCCACTCTTAAAAAAAATATTTTTTTTACAACTTCTATTAAGCTAAGAACCTCCAATTACTAAACCTAAACTTCCTAAACTAATTTTTCTAAAATTATGGATTTTGTAAACAAAGACAATGATACAATGTTAATCTTCTAGAAATCAGCATTAACAGAGCATTATGAGCAACAATTTACAGCAATCAGGATTAACATTTAACAGAGTATTAAAAATTTAACAGAGCCTTGGTTCCTCTGCCTCGGTTCCTAAAGTAGATGAGGAAGGAAAGTATGTTTACATTCGATTGTTAAGGATTCAATTACTTAGTTTAGTAGGGGAGGAATTCACTAGGGGTTCAACCAACAAGGAAATGTATCGAAGGAGAAGATCAGCTAATTTTCTAACTATTCAAGTGCAGAAAAAGCTTTCTTTGTTGATGAGTCTGTGTGAGTGTGTGTTTGTGTGGACCGTGGAAAGTGTGTGTACAATATTTGAGTTAAGAGTTATAATTATAATATGTGATGTGTGAAATAAGATAAATTAAATTCATAAAGGTGTGTATTGAAAAATATTTTTTTTTTTTGGGTGAAAAATGATATGCATGAAAATAAGAAGATGTGTGGAAATAGAATTTCCAGGTAGGAGCTTTGGTGTGTAAATAGAATTACTAAAATAGAAATACCACAATGACCAAAATACCCTCGTTCATAATCCCCTGTCGGACCACCATCCTTCGCTCTTTCGTTTCCACTCCCTTCCCATTTGATCAGCGAGAGAGAGAGAGAGCGCCGTTGAAGAAGAAGAAGAAGAAGAAGAAGAAGAAGAATGATTCCACAACAATGGGCACCACCATGTGGAAGCCAATGCACGCACAAATACGCTGCTCTTACGCAGATTCCATGTAACTCCTCTCTTTCTCTCTCTCTCTCTCTCTCTCTCTCTCTGCACATACATGTATACATAGGACAGATATTGAGAAGAAAGACACTCTGTAAAGTTTTCGAGGAGGATTGGTGGATTATGTCGACAGAATGTATACGTACAGGTTGAATTTGGGCAAAATTTGTTGATTCCAAATGTTTCGAAACTTTGAATTTGTTGATTGTAATGGTTCTGAGGTTCAATTTCTTATGAATCAGAACCCTATCAATTTGGCTGCTGTCAAGTTGACGACTGGGCTTTTGTCAAATTGGTGTAATTATCACAATTCTAAGATTTCCACAAAATCCTAGGCTAAAATTTGATGATGACAACAAAAAAATTAAATTAAAAGGAAAAAGAAAAAGGGTTTGATGATGGCTAGAATAGCCACAAGTCAACAAATGAACTGAAACTGATAATTTTCATTTATTAAAAACTTCAAACTTGGCATAAAATGTAGACAAGGGTATGTGGAGGAGGATCCCTTCTACCTGCATCTGTTTGATTTTATGCTTTCATTCCACGTGACTGGTGGTGGGTAGCTAGCAAATCATAACTTGTCAATTAATCCCCATGTATGAAGTTTATTTTATTTTATTATATATATATATATATATATCATGGTGGATTGTTTCCGGGTTTGAGAAGTAATATCTAGATGATTTACTCATTATTATATCGTCGTCATATAATAGCCAAGTCTTTATTTTGTATTTTTTTATTCATTTTAACTTGAAATCGGGAGATAAGCATGATCCTCTTGGACTTAAATGAGAATATGGTGTAATAGAGCACTGGAGAAAATTGATCCATATAACCGATCCCAATTTATTTGGACATAGGCTTGATGAGATAAGTAGCTTGAAATCTGCAGGTCTCTATTTTAGAATTGCACCTGAAAATAGCAATTAAGAGAAGAATCAATTTGATCATTCGAGAGTAATTCTGCCTACAAGTTTTTTTTACTCAACTTGCATGAAAAGTCGACGGCTGATGAAGTACAAGCAGACTTACGTATGCCAAAGCGAGAAAGGAAATTACAAATCATTTAATATGTACGAAGCTAAGCATAAGAAACATACTTTGTTTTTATGCGGACGCCGCTTTGCATGGAACTCAAATGGAGCCAAAAAAGACAGTCATTGTCAAGATTTTTTCTTTTGGTTTGTGAATATTGAGAAAATATTGGCTCTGTGGATGTCCATAGAGTACACTTGACAACCAAGAGGGATGTTTTCAACCATAATAACTAATATAGGAAGACCTATCAATCTTAAAGAGACAAAATTAATAATTATAACCAATAGATAATAATTATGACTGAATCGAGCATCAGGGACACGGGTATGACAAGTGGGCAAGATACATTATTTTCTCTTGGAGTTAATTTTGTTTTGAGAAGTTATAGTAAAACTATGCCTAAAGATAAAGCCAATGGAAAGAATGTTGCAGAAGTCACTAAAATTCTACATTGCAGAAATACAGACGTGGTCATGAGATATAGATTTGATATTTTATCAAAACACCATTAGACAAGGACACAACATTCTTCAAATAAAAATATATGATATAGTGATTTTATCCTCTTATTTTTTTCTACAATTTACTTTTTTTTTTTTTTTTTTTTGTAAGTCCCCTTTTCCTACACTATCTAGTGTCATCCCTTATTTCCTATCCTGCATCTCCTTTTATGAAGTTTTAAATCATGATTTTGTCACATTTATTTTAGTAATAATGGCCCAAAGTTCTATGTTTGGAAAATTGCCAAAGTCTTCTATACAATTTTAGTAATAAATCTTTAGATATTTTTGCTGTATTTTGATGTGTTTACCACATGTTGGATCCATGTTGTTCACGGTTCCAAAAAATAAGATTAAATCTAAATGGATATGCCAAAGATATCTTTGATACTTTAACATGTCCTGGCAGTGTTAGAGGGGCATCACGTCTGCCCAAAGAGGTCATGGCTTCCCTTGAAAGTATCCAATCCATCTAGTAGCCTATTATCAGAGAAGATCTATCCTCTTTCTAATCCTATAACTAAAACTTTGGACTCCTCTACCGTCAAGAAGTTTTTTTGGTTCAAGAAAAAGTGACTTTTAGGTCTTTTAGATATTCTAATTTGGTCATATATGTTAAACTTGTCTTTCCACGGTTTCTGAATTGGAAGGGGGAAGAAATTATAGTTACTGTGGTGGTACTGTATCTAGTTTCCATCACCGATATTGTTTGCATTTTGTAGCAATTTACAGTTCACACTAGGGTAGTGGTGAATTAATAGGCTCCCTTTGTGTATGTAGGCATATATTCTTGAGGTACAAATTAGGTAGGAGGAGGTGGCAAGGGTGGCAGGGGTGGGGGGAAGGTGAGTGTGGTGGTGCAGGTGACGGATGGAGGTGGCGCAGGTTGTTGGTTAATGGTGATGGCGGTGGCAGTAGCAGAGGTTGCCAAAGAGGAGAAAGATGAATGGACCATATTGCCACTGAAAACATGTTATGTGGGCTTCATGTGCATAATTTGGCTCTTGTGGGGATTACGGGTGTTATCGATTGGACCAAATTGAGTCAAATCGAAAAAATTCAGGGGCAAAATTAATGCAATTGAAGCGGACCAAATTGATACAATAGACAAAGATTGGGACCACCAGTGTAATTGGGCCTTTCTTTTTTACTTTTGATTGCATCTTGTCTTTATTCTTTCTCTTCTCTTTCACTTATTTTTCTGTAGTTTTTCTTTTTAGTATTGTATTTCTTTTTCCTATAGTCTCTTGCAATAACAGTGATACTTTCTTTTAAAAGCATAATAATTGAATCCATCAAGCAACACCCTAAAACTCTTTCTATCCTTTCCGCCATAATCCCTAATCCTGCTCCTCCTTGAAGTGATGTATTTTTGGAAGATTTTGCATCACAATGCTATTGACTTAAATTTTTCATTCATCAAAATGTTCTGTTTTAAGTATGGGACCCTAGGGTTTTTGTTCAAATACAGATCCAAGTATCTATTACTATATATGCCAATTCAATCTTTACTGTTTACAGCTGCTCCTAAAGGTTCTGCTTAATTTCAAACTCACAACGGCTAAACTACACCTTACTATTTTTCTTTCCTTAGATAATCACTACAATTACTAATACATTCAAAATTATTATCGTCAAGTTGTAAGAAAAATAAGAAATAATTTAAAAGCATTGCATGTGCTATCACTTCAGTAGGTTGTAGAATGGTAGAGGAAGATGCTTCATATTGGTTTAAAGAACTTCAATATGGGAGGAATTAAGGAGAAAGTATCAAACTTAGTTATTGTCCCCGGGAAAAATAAAGGTTTTATTTTCAATCCTTGAATATACTAGGTAAGGATTCGTAATAATTTTTTGTGTAGGAAACTAGTTAATTAAAAAAGGGCAGCCCAGTGCAAGAGACTCTCGCCACTGCTGAGTCTGGGAGCGGTAAAAAATTATACATTTATCACCTTTTCTCAGAAGTAGAAGATCATTCATTCTATTTAAATCTGAATCTTCTCATGCATGAAAAATAGGGTGGATGTTTTTTTCATGACATTATTTAGTGATTAGTTAGAATTGTAGATCGGTTACTAATTTAGCAACAATATAGTGCGCAGGACATGTTTGATTCTCCAGCATCCATTTTGACTCTTTGGTGTTTTGAACTTGAATTATAAATGTTCTCTGTGGCACACATGAGGTGATCAATCTGATCATGTTGGCCCTGTTTTTTGCAGGGAGAGTATTTTGCAAAAAAGGGTGTGGCTCTGATGGTGAGACATGGGAGGAGTGTAAGTATTTATCTGCTCTGTTCCTCACTTTTGCTTTCGGAATTTCTTAAAATTTAATACTTATGCTGCCTTTTTTTCTTTTGAATTTGGAATGGGAATTTTTCATTTGGTTGTGTTTTGGGCCTAACTAGCACAAGAGTATTACTTCCCTAGATCTATTTCAATTTTACTGTCTAAGTAGTTTTAGGCAATGGAAAAAAGCAGGTGTCAATAAAATAATGTCTAGGGATTTTATATTTTGTCAATTTTTTATGGGAAAGTTTTGGGTCCAAAAGTACTAACTAGGCTAGATCAACTCCACTTATTTACCACCTGAGCAAATGGGCGTTGTTTTAAAATCCACCATGTATCCAGACTAGGTTAGTTGGTGAGAGAGAAATCTACCCCCGCTGCGGTGAAAAAATGCATATTCCAAAAAATAGAGAACAAGGTGCCAGGTTAGCATTTCCTGTCCTACTTATTGGTTCTATTTGATTGACAACAGTTACTTTTCCTGGGGAAATAGACAATAAGTTTGTTTTACTTGTAGCTTTTGATTCCTTTGTACATTTCTTTGTAGGTTTAAGTTTTGTGTATGAAATTTAATTTTGTTTGCATTGTATTTTGTGTGTACATGGATTCAGCCTTTTTTCGGCAGTTTTGTAAACAATCTTGAAGTGCGTAGTTCTCTGGGGGAGTTTGAAAGTAGCGATGGCAAGCTTATTATCCTGTGATCTGCTTGATTGTTTAGTAAATTGGTTTTGACTTTTTGGTATGGACCTTAGGACATTGGCATGCTGGGTCTTCACCTTAGTGAACTGCTGCAGTTCGCATTCACTTTCTGATAAGGATTATTTAAAGGTCCCAAGTTATGGGATATTTATGACCTGGAAAATTAGCGGATGAATTGGTTAGTTCCTGCAGTTTAAGAATATAGTGGTTTGTTCGGGTCTAGGCTTGACCTTTAACTTTAAGTCATATTAGACTGGGTATCTTCTGAATAGAGCTACCACACTATCTTTCCATACTTCGACTGATTTAGAAAACTCTGAGCTTATGAACACATCTTAGTTACCAACAAAATAAATCTTCCATGATGATGTTTTAAAATATTAAAAATGGGAAAAAGAAATGTTATCTGGTGTATTTAATTACTTTTTTAGGTATCAACTTTTTGGTTTTTATTTATGTTGAGTCTGTTAGTTGGTGTTTAACATTTATGTGGTCTATTTTGGTTAAGCAATTTGCAAGATCTTTTTACTGTTAGCTTTCTTTTGTTCAATTGTTTTGATCCTGACCAATCAAGACTGATGTCAATTGTTAATAATAGTGAGATAGTGAATTAATTCACTATCTGTGATTTATCATTTATGAACCCTTTGATAGTCATTATACTTGATTCTATCATTTTAAGGATTTAAGCCATAGGGTTATTTGCTATTTGATAAACAGGCTTGGGAGAGTGCGATGAGATATGCTACAAGGATCCAGTTTTAAAGGACCGACAGTGGAGTGCTTACATTGACCGTTCTCCTGGTGCTGCCAGCTACTCAGAGGTTTCTTTCTTTTTTCAATCCTTCAACAGTGCTTTTCTCATATTTCTACCCAGCACTGGAAGCTCACTGTAGAACTTGCTTGATTGTCAAAGCTTCCTCTTTATAGAAACAAGGCACAGCTGTCACGTTTGACAGTTATATAAACATTACTGGTCCCTCAAGTCTTTGAAGATTGACATTCTTTTGTGTATGAAAATTTCATCATCAGAAATGCATTGTAACATTCCTTTGTGTATGAAAGTTTCATCATCAGAAATGCATTATAACATGTTAATTCAGCAAAAGCTGCTGAGCAGAAAAGACTTCATAAATATGCTTTGGCTAATATTTTACTTCCAACCAATTAATGGTTTGCTTGTGAAAAATAATAAAGAAAAAGAAAAATTGCTTCTGTAGGATAAGATTATTTCTATTTATTCAAATATAAAGAATATATTCAGGTTGAAAATATTTATTTTACTAATTTGGTCTCTATTGCTCTTTTTTTTGCATGCGGGAAATGCTTCCATGCTTGTGTAGCCGGCTGTGGTTACAAGGTGAGCTTGATTTCAAGGAGTTTAACGTGTTGGTTTTGTTTGTCTCATAGTTATGTCAATGTTGAACTTCCATTCAACATGCTTCAAAGTGTTTCTATTTCAATTTTTTGCTCCACGGGAGATCGGGCTTGTTGGTTCCATAAAAACCCTTATGAGAAGCAACAGAGAGTCCTTTCCTTTGTTACTTGCATTGGCTTATCTGGAATCTTAACTATCTGTGAGACTTTGAATTTCCTTAATGTCTTAGAAAAACATTATTAGGTACATGTTATTCTCAAATTAACTTATGTAGTTCTTCAGGTTACTCAGCCTGCATTATTGGGCTCGTTATCAGATCTGAGTAGAAGATCTCTTGTATACACACAAGAAAGAACATTGATTTTACGTGCTAAATTATTTGTTATATATCTTCAATTCCTTTTAACTGTTAGTTGGCAACACTTGGGGCTTGAATTTGAACAAGACATCTGTTGTTTATTGCAGTATGAGATTCCATCAGAGAAAGTCGATCAAGTTCATCCAAACAGGCCAACTAAGCCTCCTCCAGAAAAGAAACCACCGCCACCACCTACTGTTAAAGCCAGCCCCCCTTCTGAATCCAGTACGAGCACTGAAGATATACTCGGTGCTTCTGCATAGCGACAGAGAGCATATACACACATCATGTATACCATACAAATTTTGTCTCAGGCTTTTTTTTGTTCTTTTAACTTGGCTAATGTTTTTACATTGTCTTGCCCTGCTTTGGGTTTCTCAAGCTTCAGGTGCCCTAAAAAAATTGGCCCTTTTTTCTTGATGACATTAACTATCAATGTGATGGTTATATTTTTCTGAAAAACTCTTCTCTAATTTGATATGAATCTTTACTGCATTTTGTGCGTGCAAGTGTTATCAAATTTTCAACTTGAGAAAATAGTTAATGTTACAACAAATGAATCCATGGATAAGGGATGTATTGATTTCACATTGCATGCCTTGGGCCATTTTAGCTGGCTATAGTACAGAAAGTGAGCCAAATTGGATTACTTATGCTGCCATAGAGAGCATTAATTAAAACTTCCTTTGGAAATAACTTCAAGTTTTCTCTTTTTTGGGGTTTTTGTCTACATTTTTTCTAGAGAACATTTGAGAGATATATATAAAAGAAAAAAAAAAAGGAAAAATTGCAAAAAAAAAAAAAAGGGCATGAACTCAAAATAATTACAAAGTTATGAAAGTACAAGTAATTTATAGATTGTGCAATTAAGTCTTGTAATTTCATGTATTTGTAATTATTTTGAGTTCATACAATTTTTTAGTAAAAAATAGATTATAAAAAAAAAAAAAGAATGAGAAAAATAGAACAATTAAGGTTAGTGAGGGGGTTAATAATTGATGGGATTGGTGTATTAGTTATTCAGTTGGATTAGAGGAATAATTAATAAACAATTTTTTTTATCCACATTTGTTTTGTGAAGGATATGAAAATATATAATTTCAATCATATGTTTATTTTGCATTATTAATTGTAAGATTAAAAAATCATCAACAATGTTTCATCTTTTTAAAATTTTGATGAAACATTTGATTTGATGAACGAGTATATCTTAACCATTCATTAAAATTTTCATCTAATTTGATTTTAAAATTGAATAAAAATTGATTTGATATGAATTATTCTAATTTCTAATCTTGTCATCAAAAACTTTTTAAAAATTATCATCTTATTCCAAATTTATTGTTTCATCAAATTTGATGAGAAAAATAATTTCCAATGCGTTATCATTTTAAATTTTCATCAAATTTGATTTTGGATGAAGACTACTTATTTCGATGTAAAATATTTTCGCAAAAAATCTTTGACATGTTTTTCATTATTTAAGTAAAATATTTTAAAAAAAAAGTAATTTTCATCATTATTCTCAAAATAACTTACCATTAAAAAATTCATTAGTCAATTTTAAAAAAATTCACTTTCAGCTTGGATTTTGCAACACATTGCCCTTTTGAAAGGTAAAAAGAGCTCCTAATTCACTTTACCAATTCATACAATATAAAGTTTTTATTTCAAAATATTAACAAAACATCGGAAAATAAAATAATTTTTTTTTTATACAAAATTGATTTACATTAAAAATATTTTCGAATGTTTAATTTGATAAAAAAATCTCTTCTTTGATTGGATGAATATTTGATACGTGAAATTAAATGTGATTTTTCAATAATTTTATGTATATCGAATTTTGACTCGTTTGAATTATTTGAATTTGTACATGTCAATCATTCGACTAATTATTCAAGAAGATGCCTGTCATCCAAGAGGGTATAAGTTGATACATGGATCGACAAAGATGACGTCAATCGTCTGACTTACATAGTTTGGATAATTTAGGCTCCGTTTGGCAAGAGCTAAACAGGGTTTTTTTGGCTATTTTAGCCACAAAAGACAAAATAGGCTATTTTAACCACAAAAAATAAAATATCACATCTAACCCATAATCATTATATTATTCTCTTACAAAAAAAGTCAAAAAAAATCAAAAAGCCATTTTCAAACCAAATTTTTTAGCCCAGGATAAAATAGTCAAAAAAACCAACCAACTTCCCAAACGGACGCTCAGACAAGTTTAAATTCGGTAAATTAATAATTTTTTGTGATTTTTTTTATTTTTAATTAAATTTAAATTTAATAAATAAAAATAAAAAGAGGAGGTTAAGAATGGGAGATGGATGCTCTAGACTCATAGATCCTGTGTCTCTCTCTCTTTCTTCACCATAAAACCTAACACTTCTCTTTCTCTCTCTCTCTCTCTCTCTCTCTCTCAATTGCCGGTCGATTCGCCGCCGGAGTACACTGGCAGAGCTCTCACTGATTTCTTCAATTCATCCCACGAAGTCCTCATTCAAATAATCATTTAAACTTTGGTAACTTGATACACTCAACTTAAAGGGCACACTCACTCACTCCATCAATACTCTGCAAAAATGTAATTCTGTTAAAAATAGCCCCAAAGTAATTTCACATCATTGTACATATATATACTACACATGTTTATATAGTTCTCAGATTCGATATCTACACAAAATACAGTTTCATTTATATAAACCTATCTAGGGTTGAAATCGATTTGTTGCTGTTTTGAGTCCTATTTGTTTAGGGTTAATCTTTAGGAAACCCTTTTATCCAGTCACAAAAATGCCTCAAGTGAAGATCATCGCCAAGAACTTCATGGACATGGTGGCCTCGTTGCCTGCCATGAAGCTCGATAAGCTCTACGACAACGCCTTCATTTGTGAAGCCATTCTCAGGTCCGCCTTCTCTCTCTCTCTCTCAATTCAATTGGGCATCAAGATTTTCATTTTTTCATAAAATGTGAGTTTGAATGATCATAATTTTATTTTATTTTTTTAAATCTTTCTTTCTACTTTGTTTGTGAAATGCCTCAATTTGAATGTATGACAATGCTTGAGAGTAGTTTTTTTGTTACTTTGGGCCTTGAATAATGGAGAATTTTACCTTGAAATTCCCTTGTTTTCCTATCAACAACTAGTGGGGAAAAAAAAGTTTAGTAAGACTAGGAAAGATTCGTTTGGGAAGTGGCTTTTTAAGTATCTTTTTGGCTAAAATTTGAGGTGGATAAAATTGAAGCGTTTGGGAATGATTTTTTAGCTTTTCATGGGGGAAAAAAAGGTGCAAAAATTAGAGAGAATGGGAACGAATCTGACTTTTTTGTAAAATTTTTTGGCCTTTTTAGTGGCTTTTTGGCTAAAATAGTGTCATCCAAAATAGGCCCTTAAATTGAAGTTAAGATAAGAAAGTATATGTTAATATGGTTTGCCCAACGATAATGAAGACCAGTAGGTGCAATGGTTTAGAAGAGTGATATGATCATTGTAATTGGAAATGTGAAGTGGGAAGACCTAAGTTGGACATGGGATGTCGTAGTGAAAAAATATATGAATTTATTTAATTTAACTGAGCATATAGTTCTTGATAGAGCTTAATGGAGAAAATTGATTCATGTAGCTGACCCAACTTGATTGGGACACGAGCTTAGTTTGATTTGATTTAAGGGGGAAGACCTAAATTGATATAATATGTGGTAGTATAAAACAATGTTTTTTAAAGCGAAAAGCTAGGAAGTACGGATACAGATACGGGATACGGATACGACACGATACGGATACGAATACGGCGATACGGAAAATTTTGAAAAATTAGGATATGGGTACGGCAGGGATACGTTCGTAAAAATATTATTTTTACAATTTTTAGTAATGCAGTATGCATAAAAATAAAACCTATAACAAAAGACAACTTGATAAAGAAGAAAGATTCCTATAAAACTAAGAGTCTTCAAGGTTAATAGCTTCAACTTGTTCTCCTTCTTCAATGAATATCACAGGACCTTAGCTAAAGCCAAAAAGCCATTATTAAATAAAAATTTCAGCAAATATACTTTTTTAAGTCGTCAATAATAACTTAGGAAGCATGGATACGGATATAGCGATGTGTCAAAATTTTAAAAAGTATGATACAGGTACGGCGGGAATACGTTCGTAAAAAATATATATATTTTTATAATTTTAATAATATAATATGCATGAAAATAAAACTTAAAGTAAATTAATAAATAAAGAGAGAGATATTCCTATTAACCTAAAAGTCTTCAAACATTCATAAAACATCCAAAACTAAAAACAAAAGTAAATGCAAATGCAAATTAAACATCATCCTTACATGCTAACACAAAAAAAAGAATGAGTGTAAAGACAAGAAACGTGAGAGAGTGAGAAAGCGAGAGAGAAGTGAGAGAGACAATAAGGATACATCAATTTGACAAATTCTATTACTTTAACTCTCACTATATTCCTCTTATCAAAGAACTAAACAAAATATTATAAGTAATATGTAATTTCGAGTATCTGATACTTCAAAATTAAGTATCCGATACTTCAAAATTAATAAAAAATTAATTAAGAAGTATCCGATACGTATCCGCGAGTATCCAAAGAGTATCGGTATCCGATAAGTATTCGATACGGATACGTCTCTCTTTTTGAAGTATCCATGCTTCATAGGCGAAAAGCGAACCAAGGCGACAAGGTCTCCTAACGCCTAAGCGCGAGGCGAGGAGGCGAGGCGAGGGCTTCATTGAATTGAGGCAACCAGAAAGGATATTTTTTAAAAATAAATGGTATAGACAAAAATATAAATATTTTCAAGAACCATCATGCAGTTATCATTCCAAATACTATCCAACAAGCAATTCAATGTTTCAGCATAAAGAAATTAAAGAACATATTTTAACAACATTAAATAACATAAAGAAATTAAAATAGTTGAAATTAATTGAATTAAAATAATTAATTGAATAACCAGGAAATTAATTGAATTAAATTAATTGAATTAAAATAAACAAATTAATTGAATTAAAATAATTAATTAAATAACCAGGAAATTAAAATAATTAATTGAATTAAATTAATTGAATTAAAATAAACAAATTAATTGAATTAAACAAATTAATTGAATTAAAATAATTAATTGAATAACCAGGAAATTAATTGAATTAATTGAAATTTCAACACAGAAGAAAAAAAATAATTGAATTAATTGAAAAAAAAAATTAAAGATAAAATAATTGAATTAATTTTAACACAGGGTTCGACTGTGTTCTTCAAGTTGAAGAAAAAAATGAACAAAAAAGAATAGGTGAAGTCGAAGGGAAGAACAGGGGGGAAGAAATGGGGGGGTTCCGATAGTGAACAAAGGAGAAAGGAAGAAGAAGGAACTCACCTCGGAACGACGTCCGAAGAAGGAAGAAGAAGACCCAGATGTCGACGAACGAAGTCGATCTAGGGTTTGGACTTCTTATTTAGTAATTAACTTTGTCGATGAAGAGCCCAGATGATTCGAACGAAGTCGATGAAGGGCCCAGATGGTTCGAACTAAAATCAGGCAAAAATATGATGAAGCGTCGCTTCATTTCGCCTCCCGCTTCATCGCCTAAGCCTTGCTTCAGTCACTTCTCCATCGCCTCACCATTTCGCCTCGCCTCAGTGTGCGTGAAGCGCTAAAGTCTCGCCTCGCCTCACTTAGCGCTTAGGCGAGCGCTTAGGCTCGCCTCTGATAACATTGGTATAAAAGAATATGAATTTATTTTATTTAATTGAGCATGTAGCCTTTGTGACAGAGCATAATGGCAACAACGAATTCACGTAGCTGACCTCATTTGATTAAGGCACAATGTTTAGTTTGCTTTGGTTTGGGTTTCAATTTTTAATGGATGCAATTGAATTTTTCTGTATAATTCAATGATCTACATTAGAAGTTTAAGTAATTACGTAATTAGTGTTCAATATTAGTGAAGACTTTATTTTGCGACTTTTTTGCACAGATCTTTGCCACCATTAGCCAAGAAGTATGTATTGCAAATGTTGTACATTGATGTACCTGTGTCAGCAAAGTCAATGCAAGAGTGGGTACTTGCAGATGGATACTCTAAACATAATGTAGCCATTGATAGATTGATTCAGTTGAGACTATTTACTGAAGCTGTTGACAGGTATACAACGCCCTTTCTTTCTTGCTGGTAGTCTTAAATTTTGATGTGCCCTTGCATATCCTGCTGCTTGTTTAAATAGCAACACTGGTTGTGCTCTAACATTTATCAACAGTTACAAATAAAAAGAAAATCTTTGTTTAGAGTAGCTCCCTCAATATTAGACTTTAGCAATCCTTTTGTTGCTGGCCTTATAATTAAATCCAAGACGGTTTGAGGCTTAGAGAGCAATCTTATTTTTCAGTCTAAATTGTTTTTATTTATTTAGGGTGTGGTGGGGGGAATTTGGTATTCATGATATTTGTCTGTCAATAATAAATAAATAAATAATGTATAAAGCTTGTACATCCTCAAGTAGTTGGTCTTATGTGTTCCTATTTAAGCTATGGATTGCGGCAGTATTACAGGAAATTTCTCATTTATTTGAATACAATGATTTTTTGTGTGTCTTTTGAATTCAATGGTCTGAAATATAGTGATTGTTCTATCGTCCAACAATTATAGTCATTTTTACATGGGGAAAAATTTTAAACTTTGGTATCAAAAGTACTTTCATACAAAATTTACATTATTTAAAACTATTTCAACAAGTAGGATACTTGTATTCCTGTCATATGGGTTTCTTATTAACTCTATTTATTATTTGGTCAGAATTCACTTCACTATACATCAACGTCTGGAGAATTTGCATTTTTTTAATAGCACTGTTTTTTTTATTATTATTATATCACCTTATTGAAATTTGCTTTTTGATTCCAACAGTACTGTTTGTCAGTAGACTGAAATTCTTTTTATCATGTTAACAGGAAAAAGGAAACCACTTATAGATTAAACCCGACGTTTCAGATTAACCTTCAGAAGCATATAATACATGGGTAAGCTTTAGATTCATGTTGTGGTTATCATTGTTGTATATGTTAGTTGTATCTGATATGTTTCTTCTTTGTTTTATTACACAAGTATAATTATTTTTAGTGTTTTTTTTTTTCTCTCTTCTTCGGGGTTGGGGGTGGGGTGATATAGTGAGTTCATTGGATGTGTCTTGTCAGTGTAGTTGACCTTGGTTTTGCATTATGTTTTTTCAACTTCACCTAAATGCCTACAGTTAAGGTCTTCTGTAAACTCATATGAAACTAAATCACTCACCAAGTTATGGTCACACAGCTAAATCTGTATCTGAGATATCGAGTCTATTTTTGATCTACAACAAGAATAAACCTGAAACAATGATCCTACTTACTTAGTAATCTTTGTCTTGATACATTGTTCAATTCTCATCATATAAATAGTGTCTTACTTAGCATGCATGAATGACCTTCAAATCGGTACTGCAGTGGAGTTTTACCAAGGGAACCAATGCCTTCTAATATCACTGTGAGGCTCCCAAGCTTGGAGGATTTAGACGCCTATGCTGCTGAGCAATGGGAGGTGTGAACTTCATCTTTGTGTTTCTTTTGTCTGTCTCATTTGTGCATGAATATTTTAGACAGTGGTAAGTTCCTACTTACCATGACAACATATGTCATGAGATGATGTACTTGGTTTTAGCAATTGGCCATTGTGCAATTTTATGACAGTTGGGCCACTTTTCTAATGACTTCCAATTGTGATATATTAGTGTTTCTTGCTGCACCTTATAAGCTCCTCCACTCAAGGTGAAAAGACAACAAACTTCAGCTCTTCTCTGATGAAAATATTCCAGCGAGGTCTTCTGAGTCAAAGGTTCTTCAACACTCAAATTTGTTACAAATTTCACGTTTTGGTTTTCTAATTGGCGAATGAGGATGCAGTATCTCACAAATAGATGATTTTTTTTCACAGAGACAAAGAACCTCCAAAACTAACTGAGAGTGGTTTCCAATTTTTGGTATGCATTAAATTAATCATTTTACTGATTGCACTTATAATGAAATATCCTACTCGAGAGTAACTATACTAATCTGTGTAAATTACAGCTGATGGATACAAATGCACAACTCTGGTACATAATCAGGGAATACATCACAAATTCTGAGGTATCTGACAAATTTGCTGTGTTTTAGAAAATCTCATGATGATTTGTCTGGAATGTTACAAAGAAGTTGGATATGATTTCTTGATAATCAGATCACATGTCATGTACCCCATTCACTTTCCTTATATTTTTACAAAAAGGATAATCATAATAAAAACACTATGACAGAACTAATCAGGGTGGTAAAAAAACAAAAAACACTAAGACATTTACGTCTTTCAATTTTTAACTTGTATCTAGCATGTAAAATATGGATATCATTTTGGAATAATAGGAGCTTGTCTTTTGTCACTGATTTGCTTTCATAATTTAATGCTTGATATTAACCACCAATTATGACTTTCTTATTGTGGGGAAGGAGCGAGGTTTGGATTCAGCGGATTTGATTTCATTTATGCTGGAGCTTAGTTTCCATGTCACTGGCGAGGTATTACATTCCCATAGTTTACGTGTTCCAGTTACCTTGCTATAGTTCTTGCATTAATGAAAGATTATTCTTGTTGTTAAACTCTGTTAAATGCCATGGCACTTTGTTGGCTTATAATCCTTCCTTTACTGAAAATTAATCATCTTTTTGATGGATACCTTGTTGCAACAGTTTGCAAGGCAGTTTTTGTAATGATTCCACCTTTAACTCTGGCATTCAGTTGTCTTCTTTGTATGTAGGCATATAATATGAACACATTGACTGATAGTCAGAGAAATGTAATAAAGGACCTTGCGGACTTGGGATTGGTCAAGCTCCAGCAGGTGAATTTCAGGCTTGGCTTCTTTTATAATATTGAGTAATTTTTTTTTTGTCTGCTTATAGTTTTACATCTTATACAATTTCTCTTATGTTTTCATTTGTCCAGGGTAGGAAAGAGAGTTGGTTTATTCCTACTAAGTTAGCTACCAACCTGTCAATTAGCTTATCAGATACATCATCACGGAAACTCGTATGTTTTTTTGCTATTCAACTTGTTTTGAAATTTATTTAATGATTTAAACCTTTAGTATCTTATTTACAATTAATTTTTTCTTGCTTGTAATGGAATGAGATACTATCACTTAAATAGCATTCACAATGTTCATGATTTATTTTGTGTCAAAACGTTGAGTTGGACTGACAATTAGCCAAGCTGGTTCGGGCTGACTGAAAAATATGTTTTAGCACCTGTCACCTGCCCCTGGCTAAACTTGCATTTTTGGTTTCATAATGTTGAAGCTGGACCAGATGATGGGAAGGTTTCTTCATTCTAATTAATGACTGGACCTATATTTTTTTTGCTAAGTTGGCTTTACAGGTCTTTATTACTAAGTCTGCAATTTAGAGCATATTCAGACCAATGCCATGCTGCCCGTGGCTCCCTTGGTAAGAATTGCATGATACCCTTTCTGGTTGCTTTCCTTTAACCATTAAAGATCATAGGTGACTAGATTACCTTGAGGAGTGCAGATTTAATAGAAACTTTTGGTCACTAAGGTTTTCAAACCTCCATCTGGCCATGAGTTCTTTGGGTTTCTACTTGCCCATATACAATCAAAGAGGAATGCCTTCTATGACGTGGTTGTGATTTGTGGATTTTGTAGATCTAATTGATTTTAAAGTTGGTTTTGGTGAGTAAATTGAATATGCTTTTGCAAGTTGTCTGGCAGTGGAACCCTTTGCCCTATGTACGACTCATTTTGGCATCCCAATATCTTCCCAAGTTGAAGTCAAAGAGTCCATGTGATTTTTCTTTTTCTTATTGTTCATTGTGGTATTTGATGCTTAATCACATGGATGTTACAATTGCTGCATGAGTTGATGCAACTTTCTTGAGTGGAGGATTCTGATTCCTCTGGACTCAATTGATGAAATAAATTTTATCACTTCTATTTGTGAGGAGTCTTATTACCAGTTTTTATAGTTTTGCTCCAAGTTCTACCTCTACCAAGGTAGTTTACCTTGGAGAGAGATCTTGTATGCATGGATGGCGGATGGTGAGGTGGCTGTTGAATATACAAATTAGAGTACATAGTTATTTTTAGTATTATGTATATAATCTGTGATTGTGTGAATCGCTGATTTAGTATCATTTCCTTATTTATATCGTTTTCTAAATTGTATCATGAATCTATTATATATATATGGCCTCTACCTCATTCGTGGATAAGCAAAATAATTTTTTTCATTCTTTTTGGTATCAGAGTTAGGTTAAGTACCTAATAATTATATTTCACTGGTGGGCAACAGCCTTGCCTTAGCTATCCGCCAAACCTCAACCCATTCCATTGTCATATTTTCTTTCACTATCACTTCGTGGTGATCTCTTCCTCTATCTACTAGTTTATTCCTATCTCAAATATCTCTATTATATTTTTTTTACTCGCAATCCATTTTTTTGTGTGTTTCTGTTCTACTGTCTATGAAGCACGGACACGGACACGGCAGGGGACACAACAATTTTTTAAATTTTTTTATAAATATTTTTATTTTAATACACATTAATTATTTTATTTATTTATTATATTTTTTAAATAATGTGTTCCAATTAATTTTTTTATTTTATTTTACATACATGTGTTTATTTTTTTTTTTATTATTAATATGTATATGTATATATTATGTTATAATATGTATTATATATTATCTTATAAGTATATTATATGTTATATAATAACTATTATATAATATATAATAATAATAGTTATATATATATATGAATCAAGAAGATAAAGACGTGACGAGAGAGAGAGAGAGAGAGGGAGGGGGGGAGACAGAAGCGAGAGAGAAAGCCATCGATCGATCGCGATTGCGATCGTTGGGGAGAGAGAGAGAGAGGGGGGGGGAGACAAAAGCGAGAGAGAAAGCGATCGATCAATCGCGATCGCGATCGTTAGGGAGAGAGAGACAGAGAGCTTTGAGAAGGTGAAGGTGAGAGACAGAGCTCTGAGAAGTCGAAGGGCTCTAGATCGTCGAAGTCGAGGGGGACTATAGCTAGTCGAAGTGGACTGGATCGTTGAAGTCAGGGCTATTGCTAGTCAAAATGGACTGGATAGAGGTCGATTGGCTCGAGATCAAAGTCATGAGAGAGCAAGAGAGAGAGCGAGGCTTACAGTGGAAGTCATCCAAATTGAAGTCACTGACCAGGTTTGCACTCCTTTTCTCTTTCGTTTACTCCTTGCCGACCATGTCCCATGGCATGTCCAAATTTGGACACGTGTGTCCCGCCGTGTTTCTGTCGTGTCCTTTGCAAAAAAATAAATTAAATTAAATGGCGTGTCCCGTACATGTCCCCGTGTCCTCGGCGTGTCCTCATATCCGACACCGCCATGGCTTCCATTATGGCGTGTCCATGTTTCATAGTCCACTGTGTTTCCTTCTATTTCAACCTCAAATAGGTTTCTATCTTCAAACCTATTTGAGTTTGAAGGGTGGTATTATACATATATCATGGTGAGCATGGTGATATACCATGTGAACCACCTAAGCCGCCCCATCTGCTGCACAACCCAAGTCGCCCCTCCTAGTGCACAACCCAAGTCGCCCCCTTGGCGCACCACCAAAGTCGTTCCTTGGCGCACTCAGTCATCTGTTGCCATCATCATTCAACACGACGTCATATGTTAAGTGTGTGCCATGCTTGTTAGTTCAACATCCAGTTCTATACGTCAGTCCGGCATGATCCCTTTAAATTGTCTCAACGTTGATTCCGATTAGTCTCTACAATAGTCTAATATGACCCCTTAAACTGTCCCGACTTTGATTTCGGTTAGTTCCTACAACTGTCCGGCATGACCCCGTAAACTGTCCCAACATTGATTTCGGTCAGTTCCCACAACGGTCCAGCATGACCTTAAATTGTCTCGACATTAATTCCGATCAGTTTCTACAATAGTCGGACACGACCATAAACTATCTCCTGGCATTAGCTCCGGCCTTTGATGCCGACCAGGGTCTTGTTGGCTGCCGACCAGGGTCTTGTTGGCTACCGACCAGGGTGTTTCCTGGCCATAGATGCTTCAACAGCGCTTCTAGGGCAGTTCAGTCCTTGTTTTTTTCCTTTTCTAGGGTGTGGTGCTAATGTGTTAAGCACTTTTTAGCCTTTTTTATTTAGTGAATTACCAAATTTGTTCGGTAGCATTTATTTGGACTAGCCGTTGAGTTTTTTCCGGTTTTTTCCAGTCATTCATTGGCAAACTGTGATTGTTGAATATCTTCACACCAGCTTAAGGGGGGAATGTTGAATATATAAATTAGAGTAAATAGAATCTTTTTGTTTTTAGTATTATGTATATAATCTGTGATTGTGTCAATCACTGATTTAGTATCATTTTCTTATTTATATTGTTTCCTAAATTGTATCATGAATCTATTATGTATACATGGCCTCGGTCTCATTCATGGATAAGCAAAATAATTCTTTTCATTTTTTGTGTGGAACCTTCTGGAAGATGGTAGGCACTGTGTTAGCACAAGACCACGGGAGGTTGGAGAGGTGATAGTAGAGACAATCTTAAACAGGGAGTGAAAGTGGCAATGGAGAGGTTCTAAGCTTTCCAAAGGCGATGGATATGACTCTGTATTACTTGCTATAAGGCCTCATTTTATAGGAGGATCAACTCATCTATGCACGTCTTCCCATGCTCAACGATAGAGGTGGCTCATTCCTTGGTTCAATAATCTGGCAGTTTCTCAACCACAAAGTGCACCCTTGATCAAATCTTGGAGTTGTATCATGGAGTTGTAGTGGGTAGGTGAGATGGTGGTTATGTTTAGTGGTTCGGTAATTTGTGTTAGTTGGAGACTTTGAGGTTATTCGTTTTTCTTTGAAATTGCCAAGATGAGAGCTGAGAGGTTTCATTTCTCTGTTGAAGTGCTGCTTTATTTTTATTTTTACTTTAGAGAGTAGAGGACAACTTCCTAACTGAATTGTCTGAAATATGTGAATTTACCCAGTTGAGGCATTCTTGATTGAGAAAAAATGATTCCCCATAGACAGAAAGAGACGCCTTTCTTTGTTTCTGTATCTCTGGAATATGAGTATCATTTGTTATAATTGGTCGAATTGATAGTACAGAGAATGAGTCTGTTATCTGTTGTTGATAAAAATAAAATAAAAATAATGGGTCCATCATCTTGATAGAGACGGTTCTATTAACTACTATCGTTAATACTTTTTTGTGTTCTCCAGGGCTTTGTTGTTGTGGAAACAAACTTTAGAGTGTATGCATATTCAACATCTAAACTACATTGCGAAATTTTACGCCTCTTCTCAAGGTATGCCATAAATTTGCTTGATAAGTACTTTAGACTGTTTTATGATGAGGCTTCTTCTATCTGGAGAGAATACTGTTCTGGATGCATTGGGTTGGTATTTAATGAGAGTATTCAAAATGTTATGATGTTTATTGAACATATTGAATTATTTTTAAGCAAATGCTAACGAGTGTGTCCTTGTCGCATTGTTTAGCACTGAGATTGGAGGAAGAAGTGTTTTGGAGATAGGTGAAAAGATTAAAAAAAAATTGAAATCACCGAAAAGTGTTATGAAGTTTGTGTAAAGTGTCTTGTGCTCTTGTCTCTCTCTGTCTCTCTTCTTTTTTTTTTTCTTTTTTTTTTCTTTTTTTTTTTGTGTGTGTGTGTGTGTGTTTTTCTTGCTCCACAAGGGGCACTTGGAAGCAAGGCCCTTATTGTTATCCAGTCATGGTGATAACTCTTGTCAGTGATAATTGAGAAAAATATACTTTCCACAGTAGAAAAAAAAAAAAAACCTCCATACAGAGTACATTCTCAGACAAGACTCTGATCAATTAAGCTTCCAGGCCTTGACAGATGAACAATTCTATGTAGTATCATGTTGTGTATTTTTTAAACCTTTCTCCTTGAATGCTAGTTTATATTTGACAGTAATGAAGCCCCCTAGTTTGGTCAAAATCCATGTGTCAATCTGTAGCAGTTGGAATTGAAGGATTTTGGTTGTAGAAATTTTGCTTCCATGATTTAAGGAGTTGAGAAGCCACCTACCTCATTTAGAGTATTATTAAGAATTCTTGAATCCAAGGCAAATATTGAAAAAGATATGAAACTATTTGAAATTGGTACCATATAGTGTATCTGTTTTTGTTTGCTCAATTTTTCTTGTTGACCTGTTTAAACTTGTGCTGGAATGGGCAATATGGCATAGAACAAGAATAAAACAAAAGGAGAATTTGTCTAATAATAGTAACAACTGGTTCTCTAACATTTGATTAAATTGGGGTCTTTTTGAAAGAATGGTGTTGTCTAAAGACTGGAGCATCTTAGCAAAACATTGGAGAGAAATCCCTAGTTACTTCATCATTCCAAAATCTTGTGGCAAACTCTAAAACATGACTAATAATAAAAAATGTTTGAAATGAGAAACTTTTCTTAGATAAATTTATTCTACTAGATCATTGGATGGTTAGAAATAATCATTGTTAAGAAATCATTGCTCATAGTTTATATTCATCTGGATGCTATTCTTATATTTGTCATTCATCGTCGGCAAAAGGGATCATTTTTGTGCTGAAAATGCAGGGTAGAATATCAGCTTCCAAATCTTATTGTTGCCGCGATTACAAAAGAAAACTTGTATAATGCTTTCGAAAATGGCATCATGGCAGAGCAGGCAAGTATCAATTCTTAGTTGTGTGTACCTTCATGTCATCTTTTGAGACCTTTTACAAAGTCATTTACAGTAATAACTAATGAAATGATCAAGTTTGGTTATTGTGTATTTCTTTGAAAGAGCTTGAGCTTGGTTGCTAGTTTCCATTTATTTATTACTCTGGATGTTTTGCCATCACAATGTTAGATTTTTCAAGAAATCTGTCATGCTTATAAGGTTGGAAATTTATTGTTTCTTATTATCATTCTCACATGGGCGAATTACACTAATGGTCCCTACTTTTGGGCTTTGTGTCACTTTGGTACTTGACTTTTCAATTGTGACACATTTGATCATAAATTTTGAATCTTGTTCCAAACAAGGACAATTGAAGATATCATTGCTCAATTTCAAGGGCAAAGTTGTCAATTTGATAAAATATAAACTAATTTGATAAAAATAAATGTCAAATTTTTTTTTTTTTTGAATTTTGAAAAATTATTTCAACCCACTAAAGATAAAATTATGTAAAATTAATAAATTTTTTAGATATTTATTTATTTATTTATTTTACCAAATTAATTTTTATTATGTGTTTGGATGATGATCATGTAATGGGTAATTATTTTTATTTTCATTAAATTAATTTTTATTTTTTCAAAAGTCAAATATGGCGATAACTTTGATATCATTATTAGACCAATGCATTAAAACAAAAAAAATTCAAAACTAAATATATTTCATATATTAAATATATCAATTACACATTAAAAGCCTAACAATTACTCATTACATTATCATCATCCAAACACATAATAAAATTAATTTGGTAAAATAAATAAATGTTTAAAAGGTTTATCAATTTTACATAATTTTATTTTTGATGGGGTAGAAATTATTTTTAAAAATTCAAAAATGTTTTTTTAACATTTATTTTTGTTAAATTAGTTTATATTTTATTAAATTGACGACTTTACCCTTGAAATTGAGTAATGATATTTTCAATTGTCCTTATTTGAAACAAGATTCAAAATTTATAATCAAATGTGTTACAATTGAAAAGTTAGGTTTCAAAATGACACGAATTCCAAACTAAAGGGACTTTTAGTGTAATTCGCCTTTCTCACAATTATGTTCCAATGCAATGTTAATGACGAAGAATCATGCTTTAAGTTTGTCAAAAAGTGAGCAACAATATGTTGGTGACTCTAGCTAATGAATTCTACAGACAATGTTTTCAAGCTGATGTGGCCATAGGAAACAAGTCTGCCCTTGCGAGTCTCTAGGACTCTCTTGGATGCCTACCTTGTGTGCTTTGAAAAATTAACTAGTTCTCTTGGTATTTTATGTAACAAATGATTTTTAATAAAATTAATTTTTAAACAAAAATTGAATGTATGAGTAGATGTGGGAACCTAAGAAAAGAAATAAAAATCTAAATGTGAAATTTGCAAAATGAAAATAAATTATTTTAATTTCATAGATTATTGGATTATGAATGAAATTACTAAATTAATTGATGTTGTATTATGTGGATCCTGCTGCTTGCATACCAATTTCTGTTATGTGTATTCCACCAAATATATTTATTGATTTTTCATGTTATTACACTTAGAAATAGAAGTGTACAATGGAGCCCCAAATTTGGTTCTTAAGTAAAATCTAAGGACTTTTTTTTTATATATATTTTAACCTTCTGGAAAAAAATTTAAGAAGTAATTTTGTTGTTTGTTTCTTCCATTTAGGATATAATTTGCTTCTTTGACGAACCTCTGGATTTGCAGATAATTTCCTTTCTTCAGCAGAATGCACATCCTCGAGTTGCAGAGAGAGTACCCTCTGTCCCAGAAAATGTCACCGATCAGGTTTACATTTTTATCAATGTTTAAATATTTTTGCTTTTATTCGGATTTAATATTTTGCAAGTCAGCTCTCAAGCAAAATTAATTTTGGTTATGCGATTTTAGTCAATCACCAAGTCCTTGATGGAGTTTTTTTTGTTAAATGATAACGAGTGCTAAGTACTTTACATCTCAACCTGTTTGACAATACTCTGAAATACAATTTTCTGTGACAGATTAGGTTGTGGGAATCAGATATGAATAGGGTTGAGATTACACCGGCTCATTTTTATGATGAGTTCCCTACTAGGGTAAAAATCGAGCTTATCTCTATTACATTTGTATGCATGTATATTACTTTGAGCATTTTTTGCATCTATTGGGTTTGTTTCAAATAATATTGTAGGAGGTTTTCGATGCTGCTTGTGACTTTGCACGAGAATATGGAGGTTTGTTATGGGAAGACTCAAAAACGATGCGCCTAGTCGTGAAGGCTGAAATACTAATGCACATGCGAGATTTTCTGCGTCGTGAAAAGCAATAGAAATTATGTGTGGAAGAATCTACGAGAGGGAATTTGAATGCTTGAAAAAGCATATACCTTTGTTCATTTGAGGATGTAAAACAAAATTACTAGAAATGAACTGGGAAAAACAAAACACAAAAAAAGAAGAAGAAGAAGAAGAAGAAGAAGAGGAGAGAGAGAGAGAGAGAGAAGAATAAGAAAAGGAGGTAGAGATGAGATGCAAGCAACGCATATGTTTTGAATGGTTTTGACTAATTCAATCAAGTGAAGTTCACAGGGGTTCATGATATTTGGTATTTGTGTTAGTGACTAGATCTGCTTGTTTGGGCTATATTGGTCTGATTTTTATTGTTATTTTTAATTTTTTTTAATGGCTTATTATACATTACAATTTGGATGATTTATAATGATCCATGTGGGAATTTATCTGGTGTTTTTTTTCTTTAAACACCACATGTGTCTACTTAATAATAATTTTTCTTCTTTTTTCAGAAAAATAAGGATAAAATGAAAACATGACTGTCATTGTTTTGTTAATTTTTTTTATAAGCAAAATAAAAATTTTATGAAAAATATTAAATTAAAAGTATGAGAAAATGAAATGTAACGGGAGAGATTTAGCGAGTCCAAACAATTCCCTTAGTGCTGCTGCTTGCATTCACAAAATTAATCCTTCGGCTTCATGAATTTTTTAAGTTTAAAAAAACATAAACCAAAAATCAAAAAGAACTAAGAAATTTTATTTACACATCATAAATCTTTTTGGTACACATTATTTAACCATTAAATTTATATGATAATAATATGTTCAAGTAAAATGACTATTAAAGACAATATTAGTGTATATGTACTCATTTAAGTAATTCACATATGAAAGCACAAATCTCTCTTAACAACCATCACCTATATATTATATTTTTTGAAAGAAGTCTTTCTTCTAACACTCATTCAACACTGTTCATCTTCACAATTATAATATGACACACTACACTCAATATCTTCACCATTATAATCTAATACTACACTCATCATCTTCATCATTATAATCTTCACTGTTATTTTCCAATCCTTTGAAAATTTAGGATTTTAAGAACATTGAATTCAATTGATTTTAAAAATTTGCACACCATGAATGATACTCAAATTGTTGATTTGAAACACTACAACAATAAAAAAGGTCAGTTTACTTTTGTGTTTTATCTCTTTCATATAGAAAACGGTTTGTTTGTTTGTCATGTATTTAGATAATTAGAGATGAATATTTATAAAATGTTCAATTATTTATACTTGAACAAAAATTGTTAAGATTGATCATATATTAAATGTTCATACATAAAAAATTAAACATTTTGATGGTAGTGTGTACCAATTTATTAGCTTAAGATTAAAAGGGAAAATTATGGTTTGAATTGAGATATTTTAATAATCTAAAAATTATTATGTATATATACAAAGTAACGGTGTGTGCTGAGAGACTTGATGATGTGTAAATAGAATTATTCAAAAGAAATACAAGGAAAGAAAAAGTAGTTAAATAGATCTTAACTATATAACACCCAATGAAAATTATTGAAACATTCATAAATCTTTCACAGTTCAATTCATAATGAGATGATTTGACAAGTATCAATTTTTAATTAATTATGCATCCAATAATATAAGATTTACTACTCTTATCACATTATTATAAATATATTTATGAATACGGAATGTGAATCCCTGCTGTTGAACACCAAAATGCTTGAATCCCCAAAACAACTTGCCCTGCTAACCCACTGCACCAAGTACTGTCAGCCAAGTACACTGCCCAATGCACTAGGGTCAAGTTTGGCATCTCAAAAATAATTTAAAAAGTCAAAAAATTACATAAAAAGTAAAAAATATATTACTATTCGCAAATAAAAAATATTAAAAAAATATTTTATATATTACAAAAGTACAAACGGACAGCAGCTGTTCTCAGTCGTCTTGTGATAGAGCTGCATTACGTTGATTTGTTTGGGGCAAAAAAAAAAATTCTATATGTAAAGTCACAAAAATGTTGGGCCTATGGGGGCCCGCTAAGAACTCCCTTTTGATAATCCGAACCGTTCAACATGTGTCATTACATGGGCGCACTGAGAATGAAATTTAAAATGTCTGGTAATTTTTTCTCATGGGAAAGTAAAAGATAAAAAAGGGAGGGAATGTAAATATCATTTCTTTTGAAATCTAAGAGTATTAACATACTAATGGCTAAATGAAAGGAAAAGTATATAGATAAAGGTCCAACTATTACAACAACAAAAAAAATCAAAAAACTGATGTCTGTTTTATACTTCAAGTAAATTTTGCTTCTGTTATGAGTTTTAATTATTATTATATAAATATTTGTGGAGACAACTATGTACTACTAGCCTCTAAAAATGTGTTGATAAGCTTCTAAAAAAGAGTCATATATATATATATATATATATTTGTGAATAGTTAACGAAAAAATTTAAATCCTGATGTCCGCTTTACAATAACTCTCATATTATTATTGAGCTCGGCACACCAATTAGGATCTTTAAAAATCGATCAAGTAAAAATATATATAAGAATGCAAAAACAGTTTAAATCAGAAATGATGATTAAAAAATACGATAATATTTTTCAAATCTCTTCTCAAATCGCTCAATCAAACACAACATTATTAAGTGTATGCATCCACTTTAGAATGTACTGTCACATTTTCATCAAAAGTGCATTAAACATGTGCTTATATTTTTAAATCCGAAATCACTTGGGAGAATTATTGAAAACGATTAAACAATACATTTTGTGAAAAAAAGAAAAGAAAAAAAAATGTTGCTGCCCAGGATCGAACTGGGGACCTTTAGTGTGTAAGACTAACGTGATAACCACTACACCACAGCAACCCACGTTTAACAACTCTCCTAGTTTATTTATATCTAGTGAATTCTTTAGAGCAATCAACCAATAGCATTGGTTCTCTAGCCGTCTTCAACCTCTTGCGGATGTGGATTCCCTCCACACCTTAATCCAAACTGGAGGGCGCTGTTTAAATTTGTGAGATTCATTGCGGCTCTCATTTCAATTATTCGAACCATTCATTTTGTCAGACTCTTCGTATATATCAATCATAAAGAAAAGTAGGTTAATTCGATAATCGTAACCTATTCAATTTATCGCGTTTATCACCAAAATATGATGGTTTATTTTTAAAAATAGAGTTGTCGTGTGTTTTTTTGATAACGAACGCAACAAATTAAATAAATTACGATTATCAGATCGACTTAATTTTTTGTATGATTGATATAAAGTGCTTGACAAAATGAACAACTCAAATTATCAAAACAAAACCCATGATAAATTTCACGAGTCCAAACAGTGTCCTCTAATTCAGATTAGAATATTGATGGGATTTCAGGTCCGTACGTAAACATAGCACTTTAGGGTTAAGGGACAAATAATTGGAACTAAATTGCTTATTGACTTCACACACCTAACATAAGAATTTATGTAGACGAATCCAAATAATTGGAAGAACACCTTCTTCACAAGCTAAATTGAGTTGAGCTCCAATTCTTCTCTTATATCATAAGATCCAATCCAAGTAAAGTTAACATCATCTTTTACTTGGCCTTTCTGATTTGTTGCAACCTTAGGACAAACATGATGAGGTGTTCACATATTATTTGTCAGGACAGAAACTTCAAAAATGTACCAAACCCATAATGAGCAAAAACAGACAACATACCACAGTTTCTCGGAAATTTCCCGCCTCTCACCTCATTTGCCCAATCAATCATTCTCTTCTAGATATTCCAAACATTGGCTCCACAATTTACATATATATGGTTGGTGATTTTCGTACTACTTATTGAATTTGGATCCTCGGTTGTGCATTGTTTGTAGTGTATTTTGTAGTATTTTAAAATGACATCATTTTGAAACGAAATATCTATAAAAAAACAAAAACAAAAACAAAAACAAAACAAAACTTGTCCCTTTTCTCTTTTTCTCTCCTTCAAAACCACATCGTTTTGAAGTATTACAAAATACATTATGGTCATGTTTGTTTGGGTGGATATGAGCTTGGGATTGGACTAATAGTCCAATAAAATTATTAATCCGATGTTTGGTTAAACAATTGAAGTAGAGACTAATTATTTTAAACTTGACTATTAGTTAAGATAGGATACGTAATCCAACCGATTCGTAATCCTAGGACTATTAGTCATAGGAATGTTAATCCAGTCCGCCCAAACAAACATTGTATATAAGTAATGTATTACAGATGATTCAGATTCCTACTAAAGATATCTAACATATTAAAAAGGGTAAATCACACTAACCTCTTTTGCGATTTAAAGAAAATAGATTGAGCTCTACAAGTTTAATATAAATACATTGAGCTCTCTTAAGATTTTAATTTACATAACACTTAATTCACTTTTCATAAGTAATTCATTAATCATATGGATGAAAAACTAATCTCTTTCACACTGCAATATATATTTTATCTTATTTTTAATGTGCCTTCATATCATCCGCATTAGTTTCAGTTATTTTTGGGTTGGTTTGGGAATATGTTATTTTAGCAACTTTTTAACTTTTTGGTTAAAATATGAGATGAAAAAAGTTAGTATGTTTGGGATATTTTTTGACTTTTTACGAAAAAATGTGCAACAAAAAGTAGAGAATAAATGAAATTTTAGATTTTTTGGTATAATTATGACTTTTTAGCTGTTTTAGTGATTTTTTTTATATTTTACCTATATTTTAATCTTACTTAAAAAAAGATCCATAAGTATGTCAATCTTATAAGTTTTATCTATTTACCCCAAAATATATATATATATATACAAAATTTCTCTCTTTTTCACGTTTGAGTAATGTACAAAGTTCATTTATATCATGGTATTGCTTGAGTGAGTGAGAGCTGAGAGAGCAAGAAGAGTGTAAACAAAACAATAGTTGCTCTACAATGGCAAGAATTGTGAAGAGTTGCTTGCAATTGTTGCTGAAACTTGTGAACTCAACCCTAGGTATAGTTGGGATTTCAATGATTTTATACAGTATTTGGATGGTAAGGGTTTGGCAACGAGACTTGGATGACTCATCATCATCTTCTCTTCATTACAACCACTTTTCTCTTCCATGGTATTACCTCTTTTTCATTCCACTGTTTTTTTCTTTTTTAAGTTTTGCATCTGCTTCTTATTCCATGGTAAACTAGTAGCTTGTGTCGTGAGCGTCCTTGTGGTGATTGTTTGAGTCACATAAACAACGTCTCCAGAAATAGGGACATGACTTTGTACATTTTTCCCTCACCAGATTTTGCTTTAGCGGGAGCTTGTACAGTAAGTAATTTTTTTAGATAAATCTTAGTAAGAAAGTTAATCTGTAAGTAAGATGTGTTACGATCCCACATTAGGTAGATATAGGCTTGGTCATGTGAATACAAGCTTCTTAGATATCCTCCATTTACAAGTTGGTTTTCAAGGATGAGTTTAACTAAAAGGAGTTTGTTTTATTTGTATAGAATGGAATTAGATAGGTTGTGGTTTTGTCTTTTAGCGGGAGTATCGTGCACCAGTGGAAATGAGATGTTCTGAGATGTTCATTGACAGTAGGATGTGTTATGATCCCAAATCAGTTAACAATAGGTTCGGTCATATACATAAGTGTTTTTGGACACCCACCGTTACAAGTAAATTTTCGAGAGTGTTCTACCTGAGGGGTTTGTATCATTTGTATGAGATGAGATGACTTTGCAGTTTGAATCACAAAAAGGATGACCTAGAGCTAGAGGTGTAAGATACTTGCTAACGCATGGAATACTGATAGTTTAACAATAAGGTTGGTGGTATTAATATACGTTTCTTTACGCTGTGTTTGGTTGGGAGATTTGGGGAGAGATTTGGAAAGGGAAAGGAAAAAGGTGTGTGAAACTAGGTGAAATATAGACATGTTTTATTCATATTTCACCTATCTTTTTCATTACCCTTTCCAAATCCCTCCTCAAATCTCCCAACCAAACACAGCATTAATTGTTAGTAATCATTTGTTAAGTTTTGATATTCAGTGATCCATTTGGGTTGTATGCAAAAAAATTTGCAGGTCAATTCATGCATTGCTTGGGATTGGAATAGCCATGTGTGCTATAGCATGCCTTGGCCACATTGCTGCAGATACTGCAAATGCATGTTGCCTTTGCTGTGTATCCTCTTTTGTATTCAATTTTTGTATTTTTTTTTTCTTCAATCCAAGGGGTTTGAAATATATTTTTTAAGCTGTGGTTTTTTGAGTTGAAAAGACAAATAAGCCGAAAACTAGAAAAGATACTTAAGCATGAAATTAAAAAAAAAAAAAAAAAAATTGTTAAAATAAATTGCAAATAGATTGCAGCCATGTCAAGTTCATCAGATTAAGCATGAATTGCAAGCGATACTATATCATTTTTTCATTCCAATCTGTTCAAAATGATGAATTCATTAAAAACAAAAAAAACACTCAAATCACATTCCCATTATCCTATGAGATTCCTACCATCCAAATTAACCCTAAGCATATGCAATAGAATAAGCTATGAATTTTCAAGATATGTTTGTATCCTTTGGTTGATGTGTTTTGAGTATGTTAAACCTTAATTTGGGAAACAAAGTACATGGTTATGATATTTGTGCTTCTCCTGGTGGAGACTGCATTCATGGCAGACATATTCCTAAACTCTGATTGGGAGAAGGTATGTAATGTTCTCTTCCCCAAAACTCTCTCTCTCTCTCTCTCTCTCTCTCTCTCTCATGTTTCTTCAACTTTCTGACAGCATTTATATTTCTTACACAATCAGGACTTGCCTGAAGATCCAACAGGAAGGTTTGATGATTTCATTGACTTTGTCAAGTCTAATTTTGACACTTGCAAATGGATGGCCTTGCTCACTGTCTTAGCTCAGGTATTCTCTCTCTTAATTTCATTAGATTGTGTGACACTGTTACAAAAATCGAACTCATGAGATATCATGTAGACTATATTTGAATTATAAATTTAAAAAGAAAAAGAGAAAAAGTGAGCGGAATATGAATGAAATATAATTACATTTCACTCGTCTTTTCTCTTTTTCTTTTCAAATCCATAATCCAAACATAGCCTTAAATGAAAGTGATTCAATTGTTGGGATTTTCTGAACTTTCAGTTTATTATTTACTTGCGAGTTCGGATTTTTAAGGGAAGTCTCAGTGCATGAAGCTATAGATACAAGTCGTCTTACTTTATATATGGACAGACGGTTCCTTTGTTTAAACCTGTGAGGCCTAAGAAAGTACAAACGCTCGTCCATGTTCATGTCTGCACATCAAATTAATTGGAGAAACTTTTGTATGTTGAGAGGATACCACGTGGCACTGTCAAGTGGTACCTTTCACCAATCACAAATGCACATGTCCCATATTGTCTCCCAAACGCCCAATATAAATGTAATGGATCCTACTGTCAAATCCAATCACAATATAATAAAATACCACGTGGCATCTACCTCTTGGCACCCAAAAATTCCTCAATTAATTGGCATTTTATCTAGTTCAAAGGATTGCACTATTTGGTTTCATTTTCAAATCCATCTTTTGAAAAAAGAAAACGAAATTTTTTTTTTGAAAAAAAAAACTCATTTTCACGTGTTCTCTTTTTTTTGGGGCAAAAATATCTTTTGGTATTTATTTTGGTCAAACTAGTTTCTATTTTTTCAAACCAAAAAATAAAAAAAAATCGAAAAACAGATTTTCAAAACCAAATCAATGTGTTCCTAAATCCTAAGTAAGAGATGGAGAAGAGATCAAACTTTCAAATGTGTTCTCATCTGCAGGGATGTTCAATCCTAGTGGCCACTGTTCTAAGAAACCTTGATGAGAAAGATAAGAGAAGAAACTATGACAATGATGATGGTGATTACAGTACTGTACCTGGGCTTCCATTTCTGAACCATCCTATGCCGGTGCAGCCACTTCCTTATACTGTTGCCGACTTGCCTTTTCCCTCCAAGACTGAGACTTGGAAGGTATAACGATTTACATTTCTCAAGAAGTTATATATAAACACATAGCAAGGTCATCAATAATTCTCCAGAAACAAAACCAATCACAAAAAAATACACAAAATAAACCACAGAGAATACAGTGTAGCAATGTGAGTGAGTGGAACAGTCTCCAGTGACGAACCCCACCATCTATTATTTTTTGTGATTGTTTCTGTGGTTGGTTTTGTGTCTATAGAATTATTAGCTTTGACATTTGGTATCCATTCATGTAACTCATGGCCAGAGCATATCTAATTTTTTTTCTTTTTCAGATGAACAAGTGAACCAAATTGCACCTATTACACGTTGCTGAAGAACACAAGCAAATGAAGTTTCCACTGATGCCAGCAATCGAAAATCTCCCAAGTAAACATCCAAAAAGTTATAGATGGAGTGGAGATGCACATGATGGTGTAATTGATGTTAGAAGCTTTGAAGTGGAAATGGTATAAGCACTAAATGTTGTAGGTCTCCTCTCCTTTAGCTAGGTATTGATGAGAGTGTATCTTTGGACAATCTTGGTTATTATTTGTTTGTGAAGGACTTGTTTTATGGATCTCTGCTTTAAATTAAAAAGTACACAAAATACACAGTTGTGTGGACCGCTTAGGCTACACAGTTGTGTGGACCCCATTTCATGCAAGCGTTATGTACAGTTTTCTGTGGTAAGTTTTTCTGCACCTAAGTTTTTGGTCTCATCTGGGAAAAGAACACAAACTCTTGTCACTTCTTAACTCATTAAATTGAGTCACCATAGTAACACAACTGGGAATTCAGAAATAATTAGAACCGGCCGCAGTTGTACACCAGACATATGGAGGTTGAAATAATGTACAAAACCTGAATTTGACGGATTATTTGCAAAAAGAGACTGCCATCAGACATCGACGTTTTCAAGATTAGTAGTTAGTAGCATGAACTTTTACCATTCCACTACACAATATTCCCCCTCACAAAATTTTCAGACATACTCTAGGAAAATTTTCCATGCAAAAAAGTTCTATGCCAAGGATCTCCTAATTGAGTCAATATTAGGTAGTCAACTTTTGCATGCCAAAATTGGTTTACCAGAAGAAAATTTTAGAGCTTCAAAACAAAACACAGCATTTTGTATGGAGTACAACTGTTTTCTAAAACTATCATCCTATGGTAAAATATACAGGCATACATATGAACAGAGAAAACATTCTTATATTACCAAGACTGAGGGATCATCAATAAACCACATAAAACATGCTTATATAACCATTCTAGGTCATCCAATAATAGATTTGAAAGAAAAAATGTAGAGAAGAATGGTTAAAAAATGAAATTAACCCCTCAAAACATTCCCTTCAAAATGATACAAACAATATAATTAAAAAACCAAAAAAGTAGTATGTTACACTGATTCTTGGAAGACGAAGAGTTTAAAGAACAAAAAAAAAAGGTTAACAATAAGAGTACCTATTCAGACTTCTTAGCCAGTCTTTATTTATAAGCTTTCTTCATCCTGCTGAGGGCCCATACAGTTCCGATCCATGACATACATGTAAATGACTTGGCTCCAAGATTTATATGAGTCAAAAGCTTCATAATACTCCGGTGCAATCTCCTTCACCTTGTGAAGCTTGCACCCCGCAATCCTAGGGAAATCATGGTGCTCATTGTGGTAACCTACGCTCCACGTCATAAGATTCAACGGGCCATAGTAAGAATACGTCTCTTGGTCCTTGTTGAATACATAGTGTTCTGAGATGAAATGACCAGCCATTGGGTGCATACCACCCCCAACAAACGTGGAAAGGATCAAATATGCAAAAGATTTCCAACCCCAAAAATAAACGATGGTTGCATCAAGGGTCACTTGGACAATCAAATTAACAAACTCCCACATACCAGGGGGTTTAGGTTTGATAAACAGAGGTCGGAGAGCATAGAAGAAAAGTTGGAGGATGACCCATATGGATTTCGTGACGACATTTGTCACAAGATGAGCTTCAGTGAGGGTTGGAATGTCCATGTCAACGCCATCCACTCCTTGGAAGCGATGGTGCTCAAGGTGGTACTTTTGGAAGGTGACAGACATGGGCACACCAACGGGGAGATTAGCGAAAATGCCAAGCCAGCGGTTATACACTGGAGTAGAGAAGGCTAGATTGTGACTGAGCTCGTGAATGGCTAAGAAGAGGTTATGGTTGAGAAAAGAGCCAAAAAAATAGGCTATTGTCAATATCTTCAACCAACCAGCATTGTGGAGGAAAGTAGCAGTCCATAGCTGAAGCAAAACTGCCACAGTAATCTGCAATACCACAATTTTGAGGATATCAATAAAAAATAATACCCACTAGAATCAAGAATCAAGATGACTGTTAAATTTCATGTATAGAATTGGTGGAACATTTTTATACCTATATTTATCATTTAAACATTATGGAGCACAAATAGATGGCGCGAATTATGCACAAACAACTAACTATGATGAGGATTCCAAGCAAAGACTAGAGATGATTTCCATGATTTTGAGTTTACAAACAATTAAACACCAATAGCAACACTTCAATAGAAAAAATCTATAGAGATGAATTCCAATTGAAGTCTAGCTGTGTGGTTTTTCATATAGACCAGTTGGCTTTTACTTTTACAACAGTTGGAAAAAGAATAAACTACTTTTTAATCTTTGCTTTGCTGTCTAAATTATTTTGGTAAAATCAATCACCTCCTGCAGGTTCAGCACCTTTTGGTAGTAAATTCCAAAACACAATTATGATTAACACACCATTCTGGAACCAAAATGGAAATTACGACGACACAGAGATCTTTTTGTGTTGAAGAATTGCAGAATTCCAGTAAGTTTTAACACTTACGAGTAAGATTCAATGCTTTACTTGTTACCATGTGGAGTAGAAGGATGTGTTTAGGCAGTTTTGTCATACCTTTTAAGGGTTTTATAAAGCCTACAAATAAGCCTTATTTGTTTAAAAGGGAAGTATCCCTAGCAGACAAATAAAGTGAGAAAATAATTGGAAGAGCTTCTTCCTCACCTCTCTCTCTTCTTTGTTATAGTTCTTTTCTCGCTCCCACTCATCTTCTTATCTTGGTTTTACTCTCTTCATTGATCTCCCTGCCTATCTTCTCTCCACATTCTCCATCTACTTCAATATTCTGTTTCTCTTTATTCTTTTACCATCTCTATCGCGATTCTGAAGGCATGAAAAATAATAATAATAATAATACTAATAAAAATAAAAATAAAATAAAATAAATCAGAACATTTGTTTGACAAAAATCTCATGAGGTCCTAGTTACATCACACGCTGATGGCTGATTGGTTTCTCTTATCCAAAGTCCAAGCATACCACAAGCATAATATTTATTCTCTAAAAATTGTAGTTCTATCTATACTATCATATAAAGCACACAACTCACCTGGTATGAATAATTTGTCACGCAATTATGATTCTCAAAAACCCCTAATATTTGCCCAAATTTTTATGTTTCCTAGCAGTTACTATAAGGACCAAAAAATAAAATCACCAAACCAATAACTACTATCCCCCACACATGACCCTCTCTCTCCACTCTTGCCCACGGTTTCTTTAAAATTAGGCTTATAACTCTTGAGGTTATGGATTCGAACCATAGTCACTTTGTACAAATAATGCCAAAAATTATATCCATATCAAATATATCCAGCCAGACCCCCATCCAATGTGGACTAAATTGTGCATATCCAGGGATGGAAAGTTGAGTTGAAAGCCACATCTAAGGTCCTGTTTGTTTACTGAATATAAAGGCCGGATATAGGTGTGGGGCTGCATATAATATGAGATGGGTCCCACATATTTTTTTGTCTCTCTATATCTCATGTTTGGTTGCTCCAAACATAAGAAGTCCAGATAGTATATGATGTAAAAAGGGATCTGCAATACCACCCCCCATGGTATTATACATCCCCACCGTCGAAAATAACTCATCTTTCATCCAGAGGTAACAAATAATCACTCTCTTCTTATCCTATCCTATATCCTATCTTAACCAAACATAATATAAGTGACCTCACAGTATAAATAATCCATTTTATATCCTACAACATAGTATATTCCATCTTTATCTTTATGTATTACATATCCTCCTAAAACCTTTATATGATTATATCCAATCCGGACAATTAAACGAGGCCTAAGATCATGAACAAACCACATACCTAAATTAGCTCAATGTATGCATCTTGCAACTTTCTTTTTTTTTTTTTTGGGTAGTAAAGTTGAATATAGAAATTAATTGTTTGAAATTAGAACATAACTTTACAGAAGATTACAAAAGAAAAGGAGCCATATAGTTAAAGGCGAATTACACTAACAATTTCTATAGTTTGGGACTTGTGTCATTTTGATCCCTGACTTTTCAATTGTAACACATTTGACCCTAAATTTTAAATCTTATTCCAAATGAGGACAATTGAAAATACCATTACTCAATTTCAAAGGCAAAGTCGTCAATTTGATAAAATATAAACTAATTTGACAAAAATAAATGTCAAAAAAATATTTTTGAATTTTTAAAAATTATTTCTACCTACCAAAGATAAAATTAATTGATATATCTTTTACACATTTATTTATTTACTAAATTAATTTTTATTATGTGTTTGGATGATGATCATGTAATGGGTGATTGTTTTTATTTTCATTAAATTAGTTTCTATTTTTTCAAAAGTCAAATACGGCGACAACTTTAATATCATTATTAAACCAATCCATTAAATTAAAAAATCCAAAACTAAAAACATTTTATATATTAAATATATTAATTACACATTAAAAACTTAATAATCACCCATTACATAATCATTATCTAAACACATAATAAAAATTAATTTGGTAAAAATAAATAAATAAATAAATGTATAAAAAATTTATCAATTTTACATAATTTTATCTTTGGTGGTAGAAATAATTTTTAAAAATTTAAAAATATTTTTTTGACATTTATTTTTATCAAATTAGTTTATATTTTATCAAATTATATTCAATTGTCCTTATTTGAAACAATATTTAAAATTCAGTGTCAAATGTGTTACAATTAAAAAGTCAAATCAAAGTGACACGGGTCCAAAACAATAGGGACTGTAATTTGCCCTATAGGCTATATTTAAGTTTCCAACTTGGATTTACTAAAATCAAGAAGAAAAAAAATTCATAAAACCCACCAAATAAAGCAAAATCCTTTTTTGGAAACTTCAATATTAAACAATGTTGTGAAAAGGGAATGAATTTCCAGAAACATAATTGACATGATACACACCCATGATATCCAAACATAGTAATACAATTCTAATTAGGGATGGCAATGGGGGTTAATGGGGTGAATATTAATTCCCCATCTCCATTCCCCTATAATAAATTTTCTCCATTCTCCATTCCCCATGGGTACCACCCTTCCCATTTCTTAATGGGTTTGGATTTTCTCCAACCCACTTTAATCCCCATTTTTATTTTATTTTTATTTTTTATATTTAATGTTAACAACCACTTTTTTTTTCTTTTTTTTTTTTTAAAGTTCACAACAAAAACTAAATATACGTTTAATCTTTTTTCTTTCTTTTAATGGGGTGGATATTAATTCCCCATCCCCATTCCCCTATAATAAATTTTCCCCATTCTCCATTCCCCATGGGTATCACCCTTCCTATTTCTTAATGGATTTGGATTTTCTCCAACCCACTTTAATCCCCATTTTTATTTTATTTTTATTTTTTATATTTAATGTTAACAACCACTTTTTTTTTCTTTTTTTTTTTTTAAAGTTCACAACAAAAACTAAATATACGTTTAATCTTTTTTCTTTCTTTTTTAATATATTTAATGTTAACAACTTTTTTTTTTTAAGGTTCACAACAAAAGCTAAATATACATTCAATCTTATTTTATTTTATTTGGCTCAACAATAAAATCAAATACACATTAATTAATTAATTAAAAAGTTTGTTTTTAATAGTCAAATATATAATTTTGAGACAATCAAATAAGTTTTAGTAATTGAAAAAAAAAAATGTGGAAGAACGTGGAAGATTAAAAAAAAATTACAACCATCTCTCTCTCTCTCACTCTCATTCTCACTCTCTCCCCTACATGTTATAAGAACCTATTTACAATGTTATAAGAGCCTGTTTGAAGAAATAAAATGTAAAAGAACCTGTCTGAAGAAAGTGTTATAAGACCCATATTAAATTGCATCAGGGCATAAACTAGGAATTGTTTGTTGATCTCTTAGCCACGGACATTTTAGACATTAAACCATCTTTCTCTTAGCAAATTTGAACCATTCATTTTAATTTATTCAAAATCTAATTATGCCTTTTAACAAATCTGAACCACTCATTTTAAGATATCTATGCCTTACCACACCCAATCCATCCTCCATCTTCTTCCTTTAGTCCCCCACGAATTTTGTTGTTTGTTACTTTTAAAAAACAATAAATGATTTTTCAATTAAATTTTTACTAATTTCACAACACCATCACCACTATTCTCACCTTCACTATCACACTACCATCACCATAGCCACTACCATCATCACTGCCGCCATCACCCCACCACTATGTCACAATCTCTACTTTCACCTTCGTTTCATCACCACCACCACCAAATATAAAAAAATATATTTTTAATTTTTTTTATAAAAAATATTTTTCATTAAAAAATATTTTCTATCTAAATAAATGAAGCATAACATTGGAAACAAGCTGATTTCAGTTAAATCTGTTCATAACTAAGAAAAATTCTTTTATTTTTAAAAAAATTATTTAGTAAGACTTTGTATTCCCTTTTTGTTTTTTCAGCAAATAAATCTTTGTACCCATGCTTTCTAACCAATCACGACTCTGCTTGTTTTGATTCTCTACAATTTCCTTATTTTCAAATACATTCATATATATATATGTTGTATAAATTGTGTGATAACATAAAACAAATAGATTCATACTCGTTAATTGAAATTTCAGAACAAGCAAACCATTCTGAAAATTACAATACATAACAAAATAAAATAACATAGAAAAGTAAATCGAAACCTGCACTAGACCAGTGTCCTTAATTTTTTTAAATAAATTTAAAAAATTCTAGATATGTCTAAAATTTGACAAGAATAATGTGACAATGTTAATTAATGTGTATTTGATTTTATTGTTGAGCCAAATAAAATAAAATAAGATTGAATGTATATTTAGCTTTGGTTAAGATTGAATTTTTTGAAATAAATTTTAAAAATTCTAGATATACATAAATTTTGACAAGAATAATGTGACAATGTTAATTAATGTGTATTTGATTTTATTGTTGAGCCAAATAAAATAAAATAAGATTGAATGTATATTTAGCTTTGGTTGTGAATCCTTATAAAAAAAATAAATAAATAAAATAAAAAAGGTTGTGAACCTTAAAAAATAAAAAAAATCAAAAATCAAAAGAAAAAAGATTGAATGTATACTTAGCTTTGGTTGTGAATCTTAAAAATTAAAAAAGAAAATGGTGGTGAACCTTAAAAATAATAATAAAAAAAGATTTGATGTATATTTAGTTTTGGTTGTGGATTTTTTTTTTTTTTTAAAAAAAGTTGGTTGTGAACCTGAATAAATAAATAAATAAATAAGATTGAATGTATATTTAATTTTGGTTGTGAATTCTTAAATAAAAAATAAATAAATAAATAAAAAACATATGGGGAAATTAGTCCATCCCCAACTCATTCCCTCTGATATTACACTTGCCCTGCCCAATGGATAAAAAAAAAAAAACTATGTATTTGGATTGGGTCTCATGGACACCCACAGCTAGGTTATCCATTGTCATCCCTAATTCTAATGCACATTAATACATACAAATCTATTCACAATCGCTGAAGAAGAACTGAAAAACAGTAGATTTGCAACAGATCTAATTAAACCCGGATAAGAAATAGAGCAATTTAAAGGAAAAATACACAAAATATAAGTATTTGAATATATATATATATGTATACCTTGAGAAATGCCCAAGGATCGGGACCAAAGAGGTCTTTGATTTGAGGGTACTGAGAGAGGATCTGTCTTCTACGAGAAGCGTGAGGCTCGTCCGTGTATGCCCAGAAGAAGTCTGTCGCCATTACTCCACCTCTCTCATCCACTCCCATCTCTCTCTCTCTCTCCCCTCTTTTCTCTCTCTCTCTCTCCCTCTGGTTTTACAGCTAGGACATGATTGGAATCAAAAATATTTCTACCTTTCGTCTGTGCACGTGACCATGCACGTTACCTCCTTAATTCCGTGATTAGGAATGATAAGAAAAAAAATAATACTATATGTATTAATTAGTGCATCAATTGATGATGTGGTATAATTTAAAATTTTTTTGATATTTATAATGTAATTAATGAGTGCAATTAATAATAATATCATAACTAGTGTTAGTAAACTAGTTAGTACATTAATTGGTGCATGCAGCACAACTGTAAGAAAAATTAAAAAGAGTCTATCAAATTGATTGAATCGAACCAAATTAATTATATTTTGTCAAATTTTTAATATGAATTTGTTTGTGTGATTTTTAAAATTAACTTTTTAAAATTTTTGATTCGGTGTTGGTTTAAGTACCTCGTACACCGAATTAAACCAAAATTGTTTGAAAGTTTCGCATATTAAACATAATATATATTAAGGGCTGGTTTGGCATGTTTGAAAAAAGTCAAAAAGTTACAATCATATTTAAGTCACATAATCTTATTTAAGTCACATCACATCTCTAACACATCACTTCAAACCCAATCTAAACCCAACCCATATTTCATAAAAAGTCAAAAAGTACATTTATTTAGATCATATCAAATAACCCCTAAATATATAATGAAGTTGATTTAGTATAAAGTTCAGTTGATTCACTTAAGTATTTATTTTTTCTTAAATATTTCAGGTTTGATAATAAGTATTGGCAATGTGATAAGTTGTTAGTTTGCCATTTATATGTGTTTGAATCAAGTTTTGCTAATATTATATCTATATAGCTATATCAAATGTTTATGTCGTTTTTAATTTTTTGTTTTAACTCTACTTGATAGACTTATGATTTAATCTTTTGGGATGATGATTTTAAATTTTGGTTTTGCTTTGGTATTAAGACTTTAGTTTTTAGATTATATTTTGTTTCTAATTCTACTTCAGTAAAAACTTAAACACTTACACTATGTTTGGATTGAGTTATTTGGAAAGAAAATAAAAGAAATTGAGAGATATGTATTTCTCTTACTTGTTTGGATAACCTAAGTGAAGAGAAATGAGAAGAAATTGAGAGAAACTCATTTCTCTTATAAGTTTCATTTTCAATCTTCCCAAAAGTGGAGAGATTGGGAGAGAAAAGAAACCCTTATTTTCATAATACCAATTTTGTCCCTATAAAAATAAAAGAAATAAAATGATTGAAAATATAAAAAGGTTATTTTGATAATATAACATAAAATAATTTCTTTTCTTTTCTTTTCTCTTCTCTTCTCTTCTCTTAATGAAACCTAATCAAATAAGAATGAGAGAAATCACAATCATTTCTTTTCTTTTATTGCTTCCTTATCCAAACAAAAAGGAGAGAAATCACAATCATTTCTTTTCTTTTCTTTTATAACTTAAGTAATCATTTCTTTTCATAGTATTAGCATTTATTAATTCTTTTGTTTGTATTATTGTGAATGGGTTGGATTTAATATTGAAGTAATGTACAAATGACTAATTCAATATTTTTATATAAATTATTTATTATACTACAAATTTAAAAAGTAACTCAAATTTGAAAGGTCATAAACTGAAAACTGCACCAAGTCAAACTGTTTGAATTGATGCGGTTTAGTAAAAAATTTGATCTGTATCAGTTCTCAATATAATAGAACCAACATTATCGCTTCAATGTAAAATTTCACCTAAACACCGATCGTCTCAAACCGATTACATTCCTACGGGACAGGTTTAGTCCCGGCTCTGACATATCATATCAGTGCAAGACAAATCGGATAGGTTAAATGTTGTAACTTAACAAATGAGAATACTAATGAAAATTTAAAATAATTAATAAAAGTTAAAAGATGTAAAATAAAAAATAAAGGAATAAAAAAAATGTTAAGTCTAATATTTTGATATTTTAATTTAATTATATTAAAAGAATTGAATGACTCATCCCTGTCTTATTTCCTCATCGAGCTTGGAACAAGAACAAGGCAGGTTAGAATGGAGCATGGAAAGAAAAATCCATCCTCATCTCACTTTCTTATCAAAGCAGGGTGACGTGGGAGATGTGAGGGTAGGGCGGAAAAAATCTGTCATCCCTATCCATAATTTCCAATTAATAAATTATGATCTTCAATTTGAATCAAATTTTATTTATTATAATTGATGATGCTGCTGATCCTCGAAGGGCGAGTCGGACTGACCCACGCTTCCTACACAGTTCCCCAGTCACTAAGCTCACTGGAGTACCTGCAAAAGTGTCCAACGAGGAACGGGAGTCCCCCCAGCGGACCCTCCGACGACTAAATTAGAAGAGAGAGGGATAGATGATGTGTAGAGAGAGAATAAGAGTAGAAAACTCAACCTTTTGTGTGTCTTGGAAGCCTCCTTATATCCTTTGTTAATCATTTCCTTGTCCACTCCGACCTGTCATGTTGGCTGAAAGTCTATGCTTTAGTTTGCCTTGTTCATAGTGAGGCTACCCATTCCGACGTGAAGGGGTTGTTGTATTTAATGTTGTAGGAGTCTCATTAATGGCTGATGTGTGGTGCAATAACTCTATAGAATCTTTGTCTGCTTACATGGCTAGTTCTCCTCTTGACAAGTGTTTAGATGCCATTAGTTCCTGGTGCAACATTGGGTTTTCAAAGGTGTTGGGTTTTAGTGCTTGAACCATGAATTGGGCTCTAAGCGGTGAGCCAAAAGCTTCTGTGGGCCCATCGATGTCAGTAGTCTCCCATTCCCAAGTGCAGCTTCAGTGCAATGAAAGGAATAAAAAGAAAGACGGGGAGTATGTGGGGCCACGTGAGAGGACCGACCGAGAGAGGCCGACCGCGAAAGGGGAGACTGAGCGAGAAGACCGACCGAGAGGAGGGCCAACTACAAAAAGGGAGACCAAGCGAGAAAGACCGACTGAGAGGAGGGCCGACCGCAAAAGGAGAGACTAAGCGAAAAGATCGACCGAGAAGAAGGCCGACCACGAAAGGGAAGAGCGAGCGAGTAGACTAACCGAGAAGAGGGTCGACAGCTGAAGGGGGGCTGGGCAAGAGGTGGTGGCGGTGCGTAGGGCTCGATGAGCGGCAGGCACGTGATGATGTGAAATGGAATAAACAGGAAAGGGGAAAATGGTAGTAAATCATGGTGGTATACGTGGCGTGATCCAATGATGAGGGAGGTGATGCGTTAACAGAAAGCGAAGGGTTAGGACTAAAACAGAACGTGGAAAAAGGCGAGGGTGGAAACTTTCGAAATTTTCAAACTGGCAAAATTTAATCTTGACCCTTGGAATATAGGCAAACCGTGGGCATTTGGAGTTATTCGTTTTACATACATTTTTGCGAGAAACCGACACATCCCAAAGTTAAACTCATTTGTTTCGTGTGACACGTCCCTCCAACACTTTACGAACTTCCTTACACTGGCGGCCGAAACAATACATAGAAACGTAGAAGAGATGGCTCAAGATGAAGCACCAGCTATGAGGCTAGAGGCATTGGGTGAAGACGATACGGTGGAGTTGGTGGAGCAATATAGGATAGAGAGGCGGAATGAGAGAGGGGCGGAGCAAGCGGCGCGACCTCGTCTGTCTACCTTGATCGTGGCTGCAAGGCCGATTAGCCAAGTGGAACCTGACCACTGGTACACCAAGGCCAACAAGTCGACATTTACGGCAGAGGAGTTGGAGGAGATACGTAGGAAGTACCAGATTCCAGCAAAGATAGAGCTGAAGTTGCCCACGTCTGAGGAGAGGGCGTCAGATGCACGTCTGATGGAATTTACGCTGTACGAGGAGGCATTGTAGGGGGATCTGAGGCTGCTGCTTTCACAAATAGTGGTGGACATACTAAACCGATTGGAGGTGGCGCTAAGGTAACTGATGCCCAACGCATAGAAAATACTACTAGCCTGCGCGATCGCATGGCCACAGGCGACCGGGGGAGCAGTGATGACAGTGGAGGAATTCTTTTCTTGCTACAAGGCCTCCGGTCAACAAGAAACATGGGTGACCTTGCAGGCGGTGGCGGACAGAAGATTAGTGGCAGGCTTACCATCATCGGTGAAGGGGTGGAGACCGAGGTGGTTCTATGTATCAGTAAATGGTGAGAGGGGGGCGCGCACAACATTAAAAGTTCCCACGAAGTCGGTGAAGCCGAGGTTGGAGGTAGGAACCGAGAATAAGGTGAAACGGGTGAAAGAGTGGAGGGAGAAGGAGGGAGTGAAGTAGGATAACTTGATCCGGCCTTCGACCTTGTTCGCCTTGAGTCTGGGGCCGCAGCCGACCGAGGAAGATCCTGCATTGAAGGAGTTGGAGGTGAGGAGAAAGGTATAAGAGGCAGAAGAGCGGAAGACATTAGCCAGGGTTGACAAGTATAAGGAATCGCAGTTAGGCCCTGCGCCTAAACTGGTCATAAGGGAGTGAGTCCGATCACGTTCCAAGCCTTTAGGAGATAAAGATCTAACTGATTTTGCACCATTGCCGCCTCCAGTGGATCCGCTGAAAGAGAGGGGCAAACAGGAGATGGATGCGGTGTTGAAGAAGAAGAAGAAGAAAAAGAGGGCGGCTGCAGAGGAGAGTGAGAGGGGTCCTATTTTGAAGAAAACGAAAGAGGTGAGGATAAAGGAAACCCCAGAAGTAGAAGTGGGGGAGACGAGGGTGGGGGGGAAGAAGCCATGAGGCCAAATGTCCAAGTGGTGATGAGCGCAATGGAACCAAAGCAAGTGACAGTAGGCAAGAGATTAGGACCGCAATCACTCAAGATGGTTTATGTGGCAAAAATGTTCTCAAGTTCTGGAGAAGGGAAAAGAGGGGTGAGCAAATTAGAGATGGGTGCCGCGTTGAAGACCGCCATATACCACATGCGCATGATGGCCAGTCAATCGGCAGAAGAAGGGGAGGAAGCCAAGGTCACCGCCAACCGTCTCGTGGGGGTAGTGGAGGATGCGGCCGTGCGGTCGATGGCGCGATTTACAGAGGCCGACCTCCTAAGAGGG